ATTACAACACCTCGGAAGGCACCTGGTTAGAGATTTAACGAAAAATCAATAAATAAAAAAGCTTCCGACATTGTACCAGTAATCCTCTCGGGCGGATAATAGGAAGCACTTCAGTCTATCGACCCGTTATTTAAAAAAAAACGCCCCATTGTGTTGGCAACCCTCGATAATTATTATTTTCGTAGTTGGCGACACTACGTCGGACAATGGCGTCCCGTCGCACTTCCTGTTTGCTTTCGCGCGCTATTACACGTCAATGCCCCGCGGGCCGATAGGCCAATTTGAATTTCGAATTTGGAATAATGGATTCCATTCACAGCCAGCTATTGGGTGTAATTTTGTTTTTCTTAAATTTCTTGTCTGCGAATACAGCATAATGGGCTATATTTATAATTTTGTCGGGGCTTTGTTATTAATGTAAACGATATAGTGTTATCTTTGAAGCAATTAAAAAAAAGTTTTAGAATTTATAGCCGATCATTAAGTGTGTAGGTACATAGTTTTCGATATTCTCCAGTCAAGGGTCAGCAAGACGCACGTGACACTCCTGGTGTTTCAGACGTCCATAGGCTACGGTAATCATTTACCATCAGACGGGCCGCATGCTTGTTTGCCACCATAGTAGTATAAAAAAGTATCTACATATTCTAGATTTTATATAAGAAATTCATCAGAAATTTATCTGAAACGGCTGTACCAATTATGACGGGGCTTTTGCAAGCTTTTCTCATAAGGAGTAATTAAGGCTACTTTTACCATCAGCCTCAGAGTATGAACTATCTTTGTTAATTTCGTGAATTCTTCACAATGCTGGTGAGGTTGTCATTCTCATCTGATACTACGTAGTGGTAAGCCGCGCTTACCACTATTTTTCCAGGGGGAACCGCGTGGACGTCAACCTGACATGGTAAATTGCTAGCAATAAGATCATCAGTCCACATCACTAACAATCCCCTTTCCTCTGAGCGTAAACTATTTTTTTATGTATGATAATGGAATAAAGCACTTGTCTGCGCTAACGTTTTATGCTGGCGGAGCACTAGTGGAGGATGATATGATGAGCATGAGGTCAGGTCAGTTAGCCAAGTGAGAAACTCACCAGGAATTTATCACGACGGTTTCCAGGTGAACGTCAACCTGACATGGTACATTGCTAGCAATAAGATCATCAGTCCACATTACTCACAATCCCCTTTTCCCCATAAACACAGGCAGGTTCACCATTCGATTGTCATCAATTAGAGAAATAATAATAGAGTTGAATTATTAAAATGTTCAGTGTGGGGGGGTGAAGTCACGTGACCCAATTATAGTCCGCCCGCCCGTGCGGCGCGGATTAATTTTTAATAAACATGTTTTGTTGTATGGCTGCTATTAGTTTGTGTTCTGACAGTCATACCGTCGCGCGTAATCACTATTGTTATGACAAATCGTCGATTAAATAGAAAAATGTGTAATAAAAATATAAGTGTAAAGAATAGACCAGAAATAATTTATATGGCAAAACAAGTGCCGGGTCAGATAGTTCAAATAAGTAGTACGGACCGCGATAGACTGTATAAAGTTACCTGCATCGGTATCTATATCATATAGATATATGAGGTATTGTTATATACATATATATATCGTTGATTAAATAGAAAAAATACATTTTCAAAATTAGAATCTATAATTGCCTCCTTTTATATAAGCCAATTAAATTAACCACGCTCGTTTTACGCCGAAACTTAACATTATTTCATTTTACTTATACTTTCCTTACGCAGCGATAGTTCGACCAGGAATTTATGCTCTATTTCAGGTCACACGCAGCCGCGTCAATCTCGTTCATTCATTTTTTAACTACCAATATAATAGAAACATAAGCGCGCGTTTTAATAAACATATCTGTCTCACTCACGATTGTCATCCCATATAGAGTAATAATAGAGTTGAATTATTAAAATGTTAAGATGTCAAAGGACAAGAAGAAATAGAAAGACGACGCCCGTGCGGCCAGTTATTTTTTCATGTTTTGTTGTATGGCTGCTATTAGTTTGCGTTCTGACATCGACCGTCGCGCTGCTCAATTTTATCAAATCGCGATTACAAAAATGTTAATAAAAATAATAAAAATAAATGAGAATAAATCCGTAATGTGTTGTGTCTGTTGATCAAGAAGTTTTAAGAAAAACATTATAAAAATATTAGTGTTATCATATAGATATAGAGAATTTTTATATACATATATATCGGGAGAAGTCGAAAAAAGAATTTTCACCGGTGAGCTTGCCTTTGTTTTATATAAGTCAATTAAATTAACCACGCTGTCTTAATTATTATCTAAATACTTTTAAAATGATATACTTCTATGTATGTGTAATAATAATATATAAAATATGTGTAAATTTAAAACTTTAAAGGGAAAAATAATTTAAATAAATTTAAAAACTTTAAATGTTTGCTAAAAAAATGTACATTTTGAATACTGACATTTTTCTATTTAACAGACGAAATGTCAATTATTGCACAGTTAACGACTGCGGTAAATGTGACCGGTAAACGAACGGTGGTAAACGACGGTAAGAACAAAAAACTAATAGAAATAATCTTTATTTAAATAAACTTAACAGAAGCACTTTTGAATAGTCACATTTTTTTACCCTACCGCTTATTCGGAATGCAAATTCATCACAAGAAGAATGAGCTAAAAACTTGTGTGTTGCCCTTGTGGCGAATCTACTATCATCGTGCGGCAACACCGTTGCCTAGTTACGATGGGGCAGGAAATAACAAGCTGTCAGTCGAGACTGAATCACCTTCTTGTATATATATCAATTGTAAATATTTAGTTAATATACATAATGTAAATAGCAATCACTGGACTTATCACTTCATCTCCTTTCCTGCTGCTGCTAGAGAACACATAAACACAAATAATAGCTGTAACAATCTACCCGCTAAACTCTTTTATATAAATATTGTTTTATATACATTTACATTAAATAATGTCGTTTGGCTAAAGTTAGTAATTCGTTTTATGGAAATTACGTAAGGTTTTACAATAAAATACCAGAGTCTGTTATAAATCTGCCAGAAAAAAGATTTAAATGTCAAATAAAACAGTTGCTTTGCAAAAAAGCTTACTATAAAATTGAAGAATTCGTTCACGATAATAATGTTTTTATAGAAAAACTTTAAATCCATAGCACTGACAATATTATCTGATTACACTAATAATGAGTGCGTAGCGATTTCTATGTTGATTATCGCATGCCTCTTACTTGTTATACTGTAATTATTTATATAAAAAAAACATCTATTAAAAAGAGCAACACACAAGTTTCTTGCTCGTTCTTCTTGTGATGAATCTGCATTCCGAATGAGTGGTAGAATCAAAATCTATTCAAATGTGCTTATCATGAGTTTATTTGAATAAAGATTATTTCTATTTCTAATTAATTAATTAGTAATTAATAAAAATTATAAAATCATAAAACAAACTATTTTTTTATACATAATGCTATAGCGCGACCAATAATAATTTCGCGACTCCTTTACAGGTTAAAATATTCTGACTACCCCCTTGCGTCATAGAAAATCAAAGAAATAATTTAATTAAAAGCCTACATACGTTAGTTAGGTAAAAATTAGTTTTTTTTTTGGTACATTTATCTATTATTACTAGATTTTGCCCGCGGCTTCGCTCGCGTTAATTTATCCCCTTAGGGGTGGAATTTATTAAAATCCTTTCTTAGGAGATGCCTACGTCATAGTAACTTTATGCATGCAAAGTCTCAGCCCGATCGGTTTAAAATTGACAAAGTTTCATACAAACTTTCATCCCTTATTTTATCCCGTTGGGGGTAGAATTAATCAAAATCCTAGACATAGTGATCTATCAACGCACCGCCCAAACCACTGGACGAATCGGGCTGTAATTTGGCATGCAGGTAGATGTTATGACGTAGGCATCCGCTAAGAAAGGATTTTGATTAATTCTACCCCCAAGGTGATAAAATAGGGGATAAAACTTTGTCAATTTTAAACCGATCTAGCTGAGACTTAGGCATAAAGCTACTATGACGTAGGCATCCCCTAAGAAAGGATTTTGATAAATTCCACCCCTAGGGGATAAAATAGGGGTTGAAAGTTTATATAAATCTTAGGTTATCGTCTGATTGAACTGAAATTAAAGATTGGAGCTACTATGATGAAGACGTTCGCTTAAATACGATTTTAATAAATTCAACCCCCATGGGGATAAAATAAGGGATGATGCAGGATGTAAATATATTAGTTTGAACCTATCAGTACCTAATGGAACGAATAAATTAAGACGTACAAAATAATTTTTAGTTCTTTAGACTACTTTTATTTTAGAAAAAGAAATTCCACGCAGACGAAGTCGCCGGAACAGCTAGTTAATAATATTATTATCATGTAGCACACGAATTTCACGGCGGTGTAATCTCGGGCACAGATGTCATTTAAATATGAATATTAAAGTCGATGGTCTCCTGAGATTATTATTATTATTATTAAATATGAATATTAAAGTAGATTGCCTCCGTAATGTAGTGATTTAGCAAACCACTTTACTTTCGATGGTCGCGGGTCCGATTCCTTGCACGGTACAAATATATTATTATAATTTAACCGACATCTAAAAAAAGAGGCTATAACACAAGCTCTGCTTAGCTTGGATCTAGATCTCGCTGTGTGAATTCAGTGATAGTATAATTTACCCGACTTCTAAAAAGGAAGTTTCTATGTGCAATCCAAATTTATATTTTTACTAGCTGTCCCGACAAAGGTTGATTTTGCCTTAAAATAAAATAAATAATTTAAGGGTGGACTACCCCTAACATTTAGGGGGATGAAAAATAGATGTTGGCCGATTCTCAGAGCTACTCAATACGCTCACAAAATTTCATGAGAATCGGTCAAGCCGTTTCGGAGGAGTATGGGAACGAAAACTGTGACACGAGAATTTTATATATAAGATATGAGTGACTGACCTTGTCCTGACTGATGCTGCGGCGGGGGAACGGAGCTGTACGCGCGCTGCCGCGGCAGTTCGTGTCCGAGCATGCGGTGGCCGGCGGCCTCCAGCGATGCCACCGTGTTCGAGCGCACCATACCTGCACATATACAAAATTATTTGTTTTTTAACTGTATGTAACTGCATTTTTGATGGTAAGTGGTAATAGTCATCTACATACATGAACAACACCATGGACATCATGTGATCATTTGACAGCCGTGATACCGTATGATTATAGTTACCAATCAGTAAGAAAGAAAGAAACAAAAGAGAAGAAAAGACACGAAAAGAACAGAAAAGAAAAGAAAGATTTATTATCATCCATTGCATTGTTACATACATATATATATACTCAATAACACAAATTTGCAATAGGTTCATAGTTTAGGAGTCCACGGCGGACAAATAACGTGACACGTAATTTTTATATATAAAGAGATCTATAATATAATAAATAAATTATATATATCATTAAAGTAGGCGAGGTCACCATTCCATCATCTATACATATAAATAAAATTGGAGTGTCTGCATGTACTACATGCATATGAATATAAATACGGTATATTCACCAAAGTAATATTCTTTACAATTTTTGTCTGTCTGTTCCAGCTAATCTCTGAAATGGCTGGACCCATTATGACGGGACTTTTTTTGGCAGGTAGCTGATGTAATGAGGAGTAACTTAGGCTACTTATATTTTAGAAAAAATGAAATATTTTAGTAAAATAAAGTTAAATTCCACGCGGACGAGGTCGCGGGTGCAGCTAGTCGTATATAAAACGTAAAACAGCAAGGCGCTCACCAATCTGAGGCCGCCAGTTCCTGTTCTGCTCGTGGCTGAGGTTCCCCGGCTTGAGGACGCGGGGCGGCTCCACGGCCAGCTTGAGGCGGCGCGCGGGGAACACGAAGTCATCAGGGTACTGGGGGTCTTGGAACCGCACGCACATCACCTGGTTACCCAGCACTGGGGTCAGACCGATCACGGGCGACGACAGCTGCCTGGGAACATAAGGGTTATGTTGGAGTAGCGGTTTCGGAGTCTCGCCTACTGATGGACGTAAGTATATTCGGTCGTGGCTCTATAATTAATTAGTTTAATTGTTTTTGAACCCTGCTGCCTGACTCGGGTGTTCTACACCCTCTTAAAGAAGTTTTTTTATATCTATACTAAGCTTTACAGCTTCACCGAAGTACGAAATAGTGCTACAGGTAGCGCTGCTCGCGTTTGAATTGGACGAGGGATCAATCGGAGGGGAAAATGGGAGGGTGTAGCCATTGGCTTATAACTTTCAAGCTCAACTTAAAAGCTTCAAGAGGAATGACATGGTCTATTGGTTTAAAATTTAATACAGAGTAGTGCATGCTGACCCGTCAATGCACACGCAGTTTTAACTGAGCATGACGTCACCGCGCACGCCGTAGCCGTGCTGGCTTCAAGAGCAGCGTCGTAGCCAAGCGCTTTCTTTTTCTTTCACCGGGGCTAGTTCCAAGAGGAAAGTCGTGGCCTTGGTTTAAAATGTACCACAACGTAGTGCGAACTAACCCGCCGATGTAGGGGGAAGGTGATTGTTAGTAATGTGGACTGATGATCCCATTGCCAGCAATGTACCATGTCAGGTTGACTTCCACGCGGTTCCCCCCGGGAACCATCGTAATAAACTCCTGGTGAATTTGTCACGATGGGTAACTGACCTGACCTCATGCTCATCTTATCATCTTCTACTGGTGGTCCGCCAGCGTAAACCGCGAAGGCGGACGCTCCATTCCATTATCATCCATAAAAAAAACCCGCCGATGCATGTGTTTGCGCTGACTATAAGTCCATCATCTTCTCAGAAAGCGATTACCCTCGAGGTCAGAAAGCCCACGCCATCGCCGGACTAGCTCCTATATAAACTTATAGTTTAAAAACGGAGCACAGAGTAGTGCATTCTGACCCGCCGATGCACACACAGTCAGCGCTGATCATCATCAGCATGAGGTCGCTGCGCACGACATCGCCATTCTATCTCCTAGAGCAGACTCCTGTCTTAAAGCTTTAAAACAGCACAGAGTAGTAAGTACTGACCCGCTTTTTTTTATTAAGTATTTTACGGCCTTGGAAACTACTGACCCGCCGATGCAGACACAATTCGCGCTGAGCACGCACGCACGCAGTCGCAGCGGTAGGGGTAGCGCTAGCGCGTTTAAATTGGACGAAGGATCGACCGAAGGGGAAAATGAGAATGTATAGCCATTGAGACATCATCTTCTTCACTTCACCAGGGGCAGTTATCTTCGACTTCAGAAAGCTTCAAAATAACGTTGTGGTCTACTGGTTTCAATCAGCACAGAGTAGTGATTACTGACCCGCCGATGCAGACACAGTCCGCGCTGAGCATGACGTCACCGCGCACGCCGTCGCAGCGGTAGGGGTATCGCTGCCCGCGCTCCACCAGGTCTCGCAGCTGTCGGCCGGCCGCGCCGTGCAGCCCCGACACGTACTCGTAGCTGTTGTTGGCCGGCGACACGTACAGCCGGTCGTGGCCGCGGATGTTGCGCTGTACTGACACATCACAATAAAAAAGATTAGTTAAAACCATATTAATTTATCATACAAAGAGTCGGGCTGGACGAGGAAACCGCGGGAAAGAGGCATACGAAGAAGCTTTCCTTGACTACTTTAATGTAATACTTACAATTAATTAAGGCCAGTAAGACAAATTGAATATTGTTTGCAAAACCTTACATTTTTACTACATATTATTTTACTGTACACTAGCATTTGCTCGCGGCTTCGCTCGCGTTAATTTATCCCTTTAGGGGTGGAATTTATCAAAATCTTTTCTTAGGGAATGGCTACGTCATAGTAGCTTTATGCAAGCAAAGTCTCAGCCCGATCGGTTTAAAATTGACAAAGTTTCATATAAACTTTCATCCCTTTGGGGGTAGAATTTATCAAAATCCTTTCTTAGGGAATGGCTACGTCATAGTAGCTTTATGCAAGCAAAGTCTCAGCCCGATCGGTTTAAAATTGACAAAGTTTCATATAAACTTTCATCCCTTTGGGGGTAGAATTTATCAAAATCCTTTCTTAGCGGATGCCTACGTCATAACATCTACCTGCATGCCAAATTTCAGCCCGATCCGTCCAGTGGTTTGGGCTGTGCGTTGATAGATCACTATGTCAGTCACCTTTGAGTTTTATTTTATTGTACATTTCGTCATCATCAGTTTAGTACCATCCATAATATTATGTATATTATGGATGGTACTAAACTGACGAAACTCAATCGACTCTCTCAACCGACAACATCATATTTATATCCCGGAACAGTTGAGATACCTGCCGTTCGTACCACCCAAATTGCATCATCTTTCTGAGGAGTGGAACAAACAGTGCCAAGTGTTTCTTGAAATCAAGAGTAAAGCACTATTTAAGCTTACGTATGTAAGAAGCACTAATTATGATGGACGACTGAGGCTTTGAAGCCGGCTACCGCAAGGGAAACCCTAAGTAGCGCCCGTGACTTGTGACACGGGTGTAGGTTTAAAAGGCTCCTTTAGAATGCATTAACACTCACCTTCACTACTTGCAGCTTCCCCCCAGACCCAACTAAGACCGGGATGAACCCATTTCTAATACAATTCACTTTAGCATCCAAAACACAACCGGCACGCTCTGCGCTTGTCGACTGAATGCCGCGGCTCACGGAACGAAAGAGAATTATTCAACTACCGACCTCCGTATTTATAGACCAAAGTCAGTGTAGTAGGTTGGTCTATAAATACTAGATGGCGCTACTTATAATATTCGTAATAATCCTTACATTGGGTACTTCATTAGTACTAAAAACAAACTACCTTCTTTTAATATATATTTAAAATATCGGATCTACAATAATTATATGAATTCTAACACGTATAACAGCTTAAACCGCACTGTCGCTTAATATTAACATCAGTAAAGATCACCGCCAAACGCGCTCAAACTTCATAATGAATAACTTGTTTAAATTAAATACTTACTCTCAGCCTGGGTCAATTCTTTGTAATAGGGCTCCAGTGCCTTGAAGAGTCTTGTCTCGTCCACGAAGGGCAGCAGCGCGACGCCCTGCCACGCGAATTTCTTGCCATTCAAGTCGATCTTGAAATCCGTCGGGTAGAAGTCTATGATGGGCGAGAACTGAAACAAGATATGTATGACATTATCACAATGTTACGATTTTTTATACGACGTAGGTGGCAAATATTGCGGGTGTATGATACGTTACGTTGTTGGTCGAGACGATGTATATTACAGATGGTAATAAACTGACAATATGTACGTAGAAATAATGATCTTATATACTAAATACCAATAGGAAAATGGTGGGGTGACACAGTTTAGACACAGCACTGCTTAGTAGTCAATATTGAGTTTGTCTTACTAGACATTATTAAATGTAATTATTATTTTGATGTATCTAGGTAACTGTGTCCCATAGTAAACAAGCATACGGCCCATCTGATGGTAAACGTTAACCGTTGCCTATGGTGTGTCCCTATCTCATGATTCTCCTCAACCCACCCTCAGAACCGCAGCTGGATTTCCCTAAACTTCATAACAAAACTTTTTTAACTATTAGAAATTTTCTACCGCAGGGCAATAATTGACGAAAAAAGCATTTATTTATGTAGCAGCAAGAAGTATTTTAAACTTACTAATATTATAAATACGAAAGTTTGTGAGTATGCATGGATGTTTGTTACTCTTTCAAGCAAAAACTACTGAACGGATTTTGATAAAACTTTGCAGTAATATAGCTTATAGATAAGAATAACACATTGGATATAATTTAAAAAGCTATTATGTAAATTGGGCGAATAATAAACGTCAAGTAAGTGTGATGCAGACGAAGTTACGTAAGTCAGCTTGTCTTAATATTATAAACGCGACAGTTTGTAAGTAAGGATATTTCAGGAGCTTCCTCCCGCGTACAATTAAGTTGTGGAATGAACTTCCTGCCGAGGTTTTCTCACGAGACTACAGCATGGGGTTTTTCAAGAAGGGTATATTAAGGTTTCTTAAGGGTCGGCAACGTGCACGTGACACCCCTGGTGTTTCAGGCGTCCATAGGCTAAGGTAACCATTTACCATCAGATGGGCCGTATAGTGCCACCATAGTGGTTAAAAAAAATGTTCGTTACTCTTTCACGCAAAAACAAAAGACCGGATTTTGATGAAACTTTACAGTACAGCTTATGCATCAGAATAACACATAGGCTATATTTTATATTGAAATTTAACGGGAGTGAAACCGCGGGCAGAACTAGTTAAAGAATATATGGTAGACACAACTCTCTAGTGTATATATCTGTCCTTTATATCGCTAATCTCTAAAGGTATATATATTGTGCCTACACTTGTAATATTTCTGTCGACAATTGAGACCCTTTCCTTAGTTTACGTCTCCATTAACATAGATTTAAGTGTAAAAATCAGTCTCCGTCCCGACTCCGCGTTGACTGGACGCGTTACTAATAAACCGAGTAGCACACTACCAATAAACTTTACTGATACTGCTAGATTAGTCTATTTTAGTTATTTTCATAGTTTACTCTCTTATGGAATATTACTATGGGGAAAAGCGGCAGATATTAAAAATATATTCATATTACAAAAACGTGCCGTTCGAGCGATCTACTGTATGAAGAGTCGTGACTCATTAAGAGAGAAATTCAAAGAGGCAAATATTCTCACCGTTGCTTCTCAATTTATATATTCAAATATTGTATATGTTCATAAAAATCTTGACTTATTTCCAAGAAACAACAATATTCATAATATTAATACTAGATTTAAAGACAAACTTGCTGTCCCCAAGTATCGTTTAGAAAAAGTTAATAGGTCTTTTATGGGAATAGGTATAAAAATTTACAATAAGATACCAAAGGATATGTTGGAATTACCCTTAAATATTTCAAAACATCTGTGAAATGATATTTGACTGAGCAAAGTTATTACTCACTAATTTTCGATTACTTGAATGACACCTATATAAAAATACATTGTAAATAAAGTTGATCAAAGCGTTTATATAGAACTGGACGGTAGGGAAAAAATAAAATTATAATGTAAAAATTTGACGTTCATAAGCGGCTAAAATGTCCTACATGAATAAATGATTTTTGAATTTGAATTTAATGTTTAATATATAATACAATCATTTTACCGGTATACTCACTACCTACATACTACAATAAATAATATATTAAGTAGCGATACCTCATCACAACATATATAGCGCTACAGTGATGAACATACCACTGCCTTACAATATAAAAAGTAATGTAAACACTTACGGGATCACTCATGAGATTCGCCCACGGTTTCGGCACGTGTTGCGAACTGGCCGCCGGGAACACGCCCATCAACTGCTCCAGCGGTCGGAACTGTAACATAACAAAATAAAAATATCTTTACTAGTAGTAATAATAGAGTTCAATTTGCATTACAAGTCTATTACAGACTTGTGATATGTTAAATCCCATCAAAAACATAAATGTGAAATGATAGCCGAGTTTAATATTATGATATATGCCTTGATTGTAGACTTCTACGACAAAAGAGATGAGATCAGAAATGTATTTATAAACAATATAAAATATCATTTCTTCTTATAACTTAGGATAATATACTGTAGCCTAAGTTCTAACTTGGCCAGTTCTCATATACCAATTATTACTTTCGATTGCTAGTTACTACTAATATTAAAATAGGAACCGACAAGTAACATGTTTAGAACTTGCGAAGGCTACAGTATATTTCGTATATGAAAACTAGCCAAGTTAGACCTTAGGCTACAGTATATTATCCTAAGTTATAAGTTATATTAATATCTAAATAACCGTTTGAGATATGTTTATGATATTTGGAACACATATTTATCTCGCAAGTCTCAATATATGAACCAAATTTGACAGGTTTATGTGAAAGAGTTTTTGAGTTATGAGGGGGTCAAAAGTGGCTCCAAATGGTTCGTGTAAATATACACATGGTGCTGCTTGCCAGTTTACTTGAAACTCGGCTTGACACGCTACCGCGTGTCTAGATCTACCGTCAGTATGGAGTGCTCTCGAGCAAAGAAAAGTGACAAGGAACGGCTATTATTATTTTCAAATGAGCTTGTACGTGATTACAAACATACTGATTCGTTTTTAAATTCAATTAGTAAGAATGTATTGGCCATTAGCATATGCTGTTGCATTTTTGTCTAAAGGAAATAATTTAATCAGTAGCGGTAACCTGAACAGACTAATCTTCACATGCAGCACCCGTTCACGAGTATGACGGATGAACCAACCATCATTGCATTCAACCATATTAGGCCACGGCTCACCATGCTACCACAAGTTAGAATTTTACAGCAATCATGACTGTTGAAAGTTACTTCTCAACGCCATTTATAGTACTTAGAGCATAGGTTATAAGGTTACACTCAGTATTCACCCATTACAATATTGAATTTATAAAAATACAAAAATATTTAACATAAAAACTCATCAACAAACATTCGTTATGACGACCTCGGTGGTCTAGCGGTCTAGCACACCGCTTTACGTCCAATGGTCGCGGGTTCGATTCCTCGCACGGCACAAACATTTGTATTCATGAGTATGATTGTTTGTATCGGTCTGGGTGTTTTCTATGTATGATATGTATGTATTTACGAAAAAAAAACTGTCAGAAACGCAAACTCTGAGCGGCCGGACATTATAAGTGTGTGATATTTCATATACCTCGTAAATACATACATATATATACAGTTTTTCTCTGCACAGCCTATGGTTGACTGGTAGAAAATGCCTTAAGGCGTTAAGTCCGCCATATGTACTTTTACCTTGGTATTTTGTGCATTAAAGTTATATAAATAAATAAATAAATATATACATAGAAAACATTATATGTGTAATATGTACGTATTTACGAAAAAAAAATCTATGTACTTGTATCAGTTATCTAGTACCCATAACACAAGCTTTAGATAGCTTAACTTGGGACTAGATGGCGCTGTGTGAATTGTCCTGAGATTATTATTATTATTATTACTATTCGTGTGGAAAGACTCACCGGCTGCGTACCCTTCTCGAACTTGGTGGAGAGGCCGCATATGTTGACGAAGTCAGAAGCGAACGGCGCGTAGTGGTACGGGAAGTACCACTTCCAGCTGGCGCAGCCCTGGTAGTAGTAGCGGAGCACCCAGCACAGCCCGCGCACGTACTGCAGCGCCACGCGGTACCTGATAATAAAACACATTTTTTATCTCCATCTCTACATATTTGACGGCCTCGATAGTTTAGTGGTTTGCTAACCGGTTTACTTCCATTGGTGGCTGGTTCTATTCCTTGTACTGAACAAATGTATATTTTTTTTTGGACTACTCCAATGCTGTTGGCCTCAGCTGGCCTTTACAGCTTCATCGGACGTTAGGGGGCGAGTGCAGATGGTACTCCAAACCCGCGGAAGGACTTATGGAGCGGCTGAAGGCCAACTCCCGCCTGACGGATACGACTTTAGTCTGAGAGCACCACTAGGGGTTCGAACCTCGGCTCAGGCCGTCGTTATTTCGATCCCCGTTTGAATTGGACGGGGGATCGATCGGAGGGTCAAATATTTGTATTCAAGATTGTATTATTTGTTTGTATCGGTCAGGTGTTTTCTATTAGGGGGTGACAGCCTCGGTGGTCTAGTGGTTTAGCACACCGCTTTACTATCCGATGGTTGTGGGTTCGATTCCTCGCACGGTACAAATATTTGTATTCATGAGTATGATTGTTTGTATCGGTCTGGGTGTTTTCTATGTATAATATGTATTTATTTACTAAAAAAATGTATCCATGTATTTATATCAGTTGTCTAGTACCCATAACACAAGTTCTGTTTAGCTTGGGACTAGATGGCGCTGTGTTAATTGTCCGGAATATTATATTACTAATACCTGAACTCAAGGTTGTCCCTGCCGACTTCGAACTTGCTCTCGTAGTAGCGCTCCTTGAAGCCCTCCTCCCAGAGGCGCACCTCGTCGTGCTTGTCGTCATCGTCCGACTCGTCCAGGGCTGCGTCCGTTGCTGTACGCTTCCTGCCGCGCCCATGAGACTCCTCCTATAATCAGCCGATAGAATCGTATATATTTTTGTTTGCCATATATGTAGGCTAAAATAAACTTTATATATACCCAAATATAAATAAATAACCCTGGCCAATTAACATCGCCATCTATTCCCACGGTAAGCAGAGGTTGTGGTATGGGCAATTGATAACATGATATAAATCTTTACATTTTTTCGTAAAAACATACATATTATACATAGAAAACACCCAGACTGATACAAACAATCATACTGATGAATACAAATATTTGTGTGCCGTGCGAGGAATCGAACCCGCAACCATCGGAAGTAAGACCCCTAAACCACCGAGGCCGTCAAAACATATTAGTTTTAAATTTTAATTCATATATATGTTAGTTTATAAGATATTTATAAAATGGGCCTAGTAGCTTGAAATAAATAGTTAATATTGAATGTCAAAGCGTCTAAATAATTGTCTCAGCTGATTCAGTTGATTTGCCTATAACTTACAGCTGCAACAGCCTCCATGCCCGCCTTCCGTATGCTGGCAGCCTCTTGGCGAGCGTTTTGCACCGTCTTCGAGCCCCCCTGGCCGATAGGCTATAAGAGAATAGAAAATCCTTTATTTAAATAAACTTAATTTAAGCACTTTTAAATTGTCATAGTTATTTTTTTTTATATATCGGCGCTACCGTGGCAGATTACCATCATCAGTGCCGTGACAACAGACAATTTATATTTATATTTTACTAGCTGTCCCGGCAAACGTTGTTTTGCCTTAAAATAAAATAAAAAAATTAGGGGTGGACTACCCCTAACATTTAGGGGGATGAAAAATAAATGTTGGCCGATTCAATACGCTCACAAAATTTCATGAGAATCTAGAATATATAAAGAAGAATATATATCCAGCCCCACGGTAAGCAGGGCTTGTGTTATATGGGTACTAGACAACTGATATGAATACTTCGATACTTTTTTTTGTATATACATAGATAATATACACAGAAAATACTCAGATCGATACAAACAATAATACTCATGATTACATGTTTGCATCGTGCGAGGAATCGAATCGCGACCATCGGAAGTACAGCCGTGTAGCTAAACCGCTAGACTACCGAGGCCGTCATATATATAAATAATGTATTGTACATAGTGCTGTTCATGTATATAGATGACGGTTACCATTTACCATCAGCTTGTTTACCATTCAAATAAAAAAAAATATACATAATCACCATGGGAGCGAACTGTGTCTTCTCCAGCAACGAGAAGTTGACCCTCTGCTGCTTCTTCTTGGCCTTGTCGCGCGCCTTGAAGTTCAGCTCGTTGGTGTGCCGCCTCTTGAAGATCTCGTCCTCCACGTGGCCCAGCTCCGTCATGATCACCTGCACGCGGTCTAGGTTCACGTCGCCGGAGTCTGTGATCCAGCCCTGGGGAGTGATACATTTACTGTCTTAGTCATAATTTTTTTAACAATCTACAGATTTTGCCAAGCAGAAGAGGAAACCATATATGATTGCTTTACGCTTCAGCATATCTGATGGCATGGAATTAGACCGGCTCCCTGCCAGCACCGGCCCACGTAGTAGCAACGGACCTTCCGCCACCACGCATCTTATGTGGTTGTAGCCCACTCATGCATAAACGAAATATCTCCTTTGGAAACTTTACACTCTATCCGGAGGTGATAAAAACCATCGCTCCTAAGAATATCCTTCAATTGTTGTCCCTGACGAGTCTAGGTAGAGAGCTTTGAGAAAGAGCGAGCACAATAATAATAATAATATCTCCCTACAATTCACACAGCGCCATCTAGTCCCAAGCTAAGCAGAGCTTATGTTATAGGTACTAGACAACTGATATAAATACATGGATACACTTTTTCTACATAAATACATATTATACATAGAAAACACCCAGACCGATACAAACAATCGTACTCATGAATACCAATGTTTGTACCGTACGAGGAATCGAACCCACGACCATCGGATAGTAAAGCGGTGTGCTAAACCACTAGACCACCGAGGCTGTCGATCTATACAAATCACAGTGTAACATGCTATAGTCCAAAACCCTCCAATAAAAAAAATAGTAATAATTAGATATATGCCCTGGATATATATTTGAATTTTATTTATTTTGTAGTATATTATCTAAAAATTAGAATAAGATTTTGTTACGAGCTCCTTTGAATTTACAGATTTGGGGATCTAGCGGTTTAGCACACTCCTTTATTTCCAATGATCGCGGGTTCGATTCATCGCACGATAAAAACATTTGTATCATGAGTATGATTGTTTGTATCGGCCTAGGTGTTTTCTATGTATATTGAGCTTTATTTATTTAAACTTTATTGAAAGTTTTATTTATTTATTTTAATTTGAATTCTGATTTTATTGTATAATATACGTACGTTTCATATATTGTCCACGTCCAGAAGCACTGGGTCCACAATGCAACGTTATCCAGTGCCTCTGGAGCGGACAATCAGGTATATTCGCAACAGTTTATACAATAGGTGAGCTAAATATCTCTTTTTAGAGATAAACTTGCCCTTGTACATTACATTTATTGTATTACTGTTTTTATTTCCTACTAGCTGCACCCGTGACTTCGTCTGCGTGGAATTTAACTTTATTTTTCTAAAACAAAAGTAGCCTAAGTTACTCCCTATTACATCCATTACCTGCCAAAAAAAGTCCCGTCATAATCGGTCCAGCCATTTCAGAGATTAGCCGGAACAAGCAGACCGACAGACAGACAAAAATTTTAAAAAGTGGTTTTTTGGTGTATGTACCGTATTTATATTCATATGCATTACTACAACAAAAACGGTTATTTCAATATTACAAACAGACACTCTAATTTTATTTATATGTGTAGATGTGTGGGTACAATAAAGAATTGAGCATGCATTTCAAAATGTACTTAAATATAATATATTTAAGTACATTTTGAAATGATACATATTATGTATCAGTTGTCTAGTACCCACAACACAAACTCTGCTCAGCGGGGCCGTGACCTTCAAGCCGGTAATTGAGGACAATTTGGACGTAAAAATGCGTAATCAACCGAAAGTGTTCTATATGAGTAAATGATTTTGATTTTTAAATACATATAAAAATAAGAGACACCTACCTTCGTCCTATAAACACATTTCTTATACAGATTCACGAGTCGATCCACAGCTCCCTCCCTGATCTCCAGACTGGGCAGATGCGGCAGGAAGTCATTGCCCACGAAGAAGCACATGAACACCCAATCATCCAGGGCTCGCTCAAAGTCATACGGGAATGGCAGGTTAGGCATCTGCAGTTCCCTCTCGAGGTACTCCCGGAGCACTGAGAGACGGACGAAGATGAAATTGTCCTGGTTTCCAAAAGCTGGGTCTGACCGGACCAGTGAGGCGTCCGGGGTGGTACCTGTGCATTCCTTCATCTCGTGCCCTGGGAATAAATGGATATTGATATTTCCAGTTGGGAAACTTAAAGATGTTTTTAATCTAGTATACCCTTTCGTACTAACTCTGTAGCTAGCTGAGTAGCTAGTTACATATATACGAGTATCATATATATGTAACTAGCCCCAGCCCCAGGTTCACACGGGTGCACATGTATTATATATATAAGCCTTCCTGAATGCAAATATTTGCACCGTGCGAGGAATCGAACCCGCGACCATCGGATGTAAAGCGGTGTGCCAAACCGCTAGACCACCGAGGCAGTCTTGAATCTTGATGTATATATATATATGTAGGTATATATACATCAAGATTCAAGACTGAGAGATATATATGTAGGTAACTATGTCCTATAGCTTAGCATACACCATATCCTTACCAAGCTGTCCGCACACGTCGCAGGGTCGCGGTTTGTTGGGTTTGAACTCCTCGCGGATGATGGTAAAGTTGGGCTCGTGGGTTGCGAGCCCCAACATGATGAGATCCGCGTCCGCGCCGCACAGCACGTGCTGGGTATTCGCGTCGTGGTCGGGCTGGGCTGAAATCATAATAATAATCTCAGGACAATTCACACAGCGCCATCTAGATCTAAGTTAAGCTAGCTAAAGCTTGTGCTATGGGTACTAGATAACTATTACATATACATAGATATATAATTTATTCTTAAATACATATATATTACACATATAATATTTTCTATGTATAGATGTATGTATTTATGAGGTATATGAAATATCACACACTTATAAAGTCCGGCCGCTCAGAGTTTGCGTTTCTGACAGGTCGAGATCGAATGGGCGATGTAACTTTGAACTGACGTACAATTTCCGGCAAAATTTTAAATGTTTCAAGGTTATATCAACTGCTTGATTTTGTAGTGATCAAAAATAAACACTTGATATAACCTTGAAACAGCGTAGTTTGATGTGGTTTGACTTTTAAAACTATTGTTTTTATATTTGTTAAGTAGTTAATAATAATTTTAGCACAATATTAATACGTTTATTGTAAATTGGAATAATTATTAATTTTTTTATGTTATATAAGATATTTAAAATTTTTCCGTAAATTATACATCAATTCAAAGTCACATAGCCCATTGGATCCCGATCTGTCAGAAACGCAAACTCTGAGCGGTCGGACTGTAGTCTATATAGAGAAGAAGTGCAGAATGCTCATTATTTAAAATTATACATTAAAATACGTTATTTCAACGTCAACCACTGTAGTTCTGTAAACCACTGACCTCTCTGCCTGCGTATATAGTCCATAATCTTGTGTTCACCCTCACCCGGAACGTTGGCGTCTGATAATATAACCTTGATGCCTTTCCACCCTGGATCACTGTTTAATCTGAGTACAAATAAACAATATTTGAAATACAAATAGAAATAATCTTTATTTAAATAAACTTAATATTAGCACTTTTGAATAGTCAATATTTTTTATTCTACCGCTCATTCGAAATGCAGACTCATCACAAGAAGAATAAGCAAGAAACTTGTGTGTTGCTATTTTAAATAAATATTGTTTTAATTAGTCAGGGTGTTTTCTATGTATATTATTTTAAAAAAAATCTAAGTATCTGTTGTCTATATGATAAGTACTGCTTACAGTGGGACCGTCTATCTATGTATATGGACAGAATATAGCACCCATAATACTATAAGTAAAACAAAAGATAATTCGTAGAAATATACCGAGTAATAATTTTCGTGCACCGCGCGTTCGAACCGAAAATTACCGATAATCCGGCTCGAAGGACCATGTTCGCGTCAAGAAATAAAATAGTGGATTATGAAAGATCTCCAACTGGCTTATTACTTATCTATTTTAGCCGGATATCAACACATTATGAGCGAGGCCGGTATATATACCCGTTCCGAGTTATTAATAGGAGTACAAATACTTACCCCGCTCTTAATTTGTTAATATTACAGAACGTTAATAAAACTAAAGACGCGCGTGCGGCTCTAGAATGTGTCCGCGAGCGGACAGCCGCTGCTATATGCAACCCGCAACCATCGGATGTAAAGCGGTGTTACTAAACCGCTAGACTACCGAGAACGTCAAGTGTAATGTATAATAGTGATGTTATGAATTATAACATCACTATTATACATATTATACACTAGCTGCGACTTCGTCCGCATGGAATACATCTGAATTTTCTAAAAGTAGCCTAAGTTACTTTTTATTACATCAGCTACCTGCCAATAAAAGTCCCGTCAAAATCGGTCCAACCATTTCAGAGATTAGCCGGAACAAACAGACAGACAGTCAAAAATGATAAAAAATGTTATTTTGGTGTATGTTGCGTATTTATATTCATATGCATGTAGTAAAAAACGGTTATTTCAATATAACGAACAGACACTCCAATTTTATTTATATGTATAGATATACTCACCTGTCATGTATATAGTAATGTAAACATTTGCTCAGTCTGTCCATGAACGGTGTACCAGGTGTGATACAGTTGGAGTCAAAGTGCGCCTCCTTGGGCCTCTCAGGGGGTAAATACGCCCCTTTAGTTTGCAGTTCGGATCGTATGCGAGCCACCTCCTCAATCTTCTCCTGCGTCTCCTTGGAGGCTCGGAAACGACGTGAGCGCTGCTGATTCATTTTTGCGCGCGGTGCCTGAAATAATAAAATATTGATGCATTCAATTTGATCTTTGTACCTGTATAACCGTTTGTTTGCTAACCAATTGGAATTAAATAAACACAAAACTTTAAGTCAAACTTACAATAATACATTAGTGATAAACACACAGTAAACAGTTAAGCCTTTTCTGATATTAGCTTGCACACAAACACTGCTAAACATTCTAACATTTTTTTATGGAGTACTTAGGGTTATTTCTAGATGCTAAGACTTTTCTTTTATTTTATTTAACTTCAATGCACACAATATACAAAGTATAGTAAAGTACATTTGGCGGACTTCCGAACGAGTGATAGATAAAAAAACAAATTGTTATGACCATTCAAAAGTGCTTAAATTAAGTTTATTTGAATAAATGATTTTCTATTCTATTCTATTCTTAACACCATGCGGCATGCACCATTATACCAGGCAACCATAGGTGGTGCATAGAATAGATGTTAGATCTATGTTGCTTATTATGTTGTAACTTCCAAAAATAATTTGTCATATATTTTAAATGTACGAACAGCAATCAACATTTCTATTATACACATATAGAACAGATAAGTAGAATCAAGAATCTCTGAATCTGTTTAGATGATACCAGTAGCTATATCAAGTTTTAATAAATTTGAAGCAAATGCATTAATTGTAGAGTTAAAATTATGACCAAGACATGAGATAAAACAGGCTCTGACATTTATTATAGTTTCAGGTAAAACATCAGTTAAATCATATAATATTTCTTGAGTAAAGCATCACTCACTAAACAATTACTTAAATGACAAATATGCATGATATTAGTTGACAGGTATACATACAATAGTTGTCACAGGATATTCATCTAATGTTAGACATACATATGTATATAAGTATACTGGCTGTTCCCCGACATTATCCACATGGAATTCAACTCTATTTTTCTAACATAAAAGTAGCCTTAAGAACTAAAAGTTACTTTGTTCGTGGTCTTAATTTATTCATTCCATTAGGTACTGATAGGTTCAAACTAATACATTTACATCCTGCATCATCCCTTATTTTATTCCCATGGGGGTTGAATTTATCAAAATCCTATTTAAGCGAACATCTTCATAATAGTAGCTCTTTAATTTCAGTTCAATCAGTTGGAAACCTAAGAAGATTTATAGAAACTTTCATCCCTTGTATTATCCCCTTAGGGGTGAAATTTATCAAAATCCTTTCTTAGCGGATGCCTACGTCATAACATCTACCTGCATGCCAAATTTCAGCCCGATCCATCCAGTGGTTTGGGCTGTGCGTTGATAGACCACTATATCAGTCACCTTTGAGTATATTTAGATATATATATATTTAGATAATGTAAATAAACTAGCTTTATATAAAAAGAAATTCAATTGAGTTTCTTGTCAGTTCTTCTCAATTGAATCTGTATAATACACTGGATGTGGGGAAAAATTATTAATACAAAAAACTTGAGGTTCATAAACGGCTACAATGTTTACAGGAATAAATGATTATTAATTTGCTTTGTTAAGAATATTGTTTATGTACCATAGAGTTTTGTGTTGCGATGTTGAAACAAACCATAAATATTAAAAATGAATACTCACAACTCCATCAATGGCCATATACAGTAGCTTCCTAGGCCTCACGATGCGGAACAATCTGTCAATGCATTCGAATATAGCAACCATCATCTCATCCTCATCCTTGGGCGGGGGTTTGTCCTCAGGATGTGTGCATGGGTGGATGATCCCATTCATGTCCAAATATAAATTGTCAAATTCTACTCCATTGGGATTTGGTAGTGAAGAGTCCACATGCACCAGTTCACCGTCTACGTCTGTTGGCTGCATAATTTAAAATAGGTTATTTTAGTTTTTTTTTTTCCTATTAGATATCTTGCAATCAGTCACATGGACTATAAGCAGATGTGGTGTTCCCTATATAACAGGTATAGTGCCGCTTCCAACAGAGCAGCTCCTCATTCTTAAAAAGTCAGTCCTATCTGACTATCTTGGTAAAATATATCAGGTTATTTTAGTAACTAGAATAATTAGAACATCTCAGGACAATTTACACAGCACTATATAGTCCCAAGCTAAGAATTTGTGTTATGGGTACCAAACTACTTTCATTTTCTTTGCGGTTGCCCTGCCAGTGTAGACCATTAGCAGGTGGGTGAACCAAACCATTATCATTCATTAACAAAAACTGACTAATACATGGGTTAAAAGACCTGTTGTATCTGCCAAAATCTTTATTAGACTATTCTGTATCTTAATAATATTATTAACGGGAAAGTTTGGATGTTTGTTATTCATTCAATTCATGCACCTAAAAAGTACTAAACAGATTTTGATGCATCTTTACAGTAATATAGCTAATGCATCGGAATAAGACATAGGCTGTTTTTTATTGAAATTTAATGGGGGTGAAACCGCGGGCCAAGCTAGTTATAAATAAATTCTATTTTTTTTCATAATAAAAAATATAAAATATTAATTATAACGTTAGAAACAAGACCTAATGAAATTTTGTCCGTTTCATCCTTGAATTGTGCCTCGCCAGGTTTAACCATAGCACAAGCAAAACAACCATTCCATCATCATCAACAAAAAAAACCATGTTAATGATCTAGAGTGCCAGCAATTATCGCTCCTGTATAGATTTGTAGATAATTTGTCTGAAGCTAATAAATGTCATTTATAAAAAAGTTAGGACACAGATAATCGTACAAGCCGGTATAGGTAAAACCGAAAATAATACGAAAATTTCTGTATTTATCATAGTACAAAGTAAATATTTTGAGGTTATATATTTACCTTCTGTTCAATACATTCGACAATGACGCTTGGGTACTTTCTACTTAGCCAGCGAAAGAATGCTGGAACTCCCATATTGAAAGCTTAATTAATAATTGTTGATGAAATTATAATTTTCTGTCAAATAGAAATAAATAATTAAAAGTTTTCAACACAAACAAATCGACAGTATCGCGTTTTGAGAGCAAGCGAGACAAAGACGGTTAAACAGAGACAGAAATATATTTACTCTATGGATAATACAGATTAAACAATTAACAATTTCACTGGAAAATATTTTCCCTATGATCTATGGTAAAAGATATTAAATATAAAAAATAAGTTTAATTTACGTTTTTTTAATTACATCTTAGTAATAAAAAACGTAATCTTAGTAATAAAAAAAAATAGATGGTTTCAAGGCCAAATTCTAATTAGTCTGTACCCATGTCAGGGCTGTCAGCTGTCAGTTTTTGACTATTATCTGTGATATTATCAAATATTGAAATAATTTTATTTAATATTATTTTAATTATTTATTATATGTTTTATGAACTTTGGTGTAATTATGTATTATAAGAAACTCTTAAGACATACAACTTTACGAAAGTATTGTACAAATGCAGCGAAACTTACAGTCGACAAAATTCGTAACATCGGCATTCTAGCGCATATAGATGCAGGTTAGAATTTATTGTTTTGGTTACATAAAAACTTACTATAAATCCTTACTATAAATTTATAAATGAAAAATGACCATGTTAATTTGTCTGCCTTGTTTTATTTAACATTTGGGAATAAGTAAAAATAGTTTTTTTAACATTGGGGAAGAAGCTGTTTTTTGTACCTATTAATCAGTCACGCGGGCAGGAGCTAGTATATACTATTATATGATTTAACAATAAATTTATGGCCTTAATATTAATGTTCTAGAAATATTAATATGGAAAATATGATAATTGAAACGTTCTCTAAGTCTCTTCAAATGCAGTGTCAGTCTTATTTGTAGTGTTTAGAATCCTATTGTTAGAAATATACAATAGGATTCTAAACACTACAAATAAGACAAACATTGTTTGAACAATAACTATTGAAGGTCACTTATGTCCATAAAAACTATACTATCTAATAAGCGCCCCAGATGGTAAGATATTGTTAGTTAGTAGTAATGGGAAATACTAATGGTGACCACATTCTTTTTTTTTTATTTTTAATACTGCTTATTGGTAATTGGTATTGGGTATTGTGGAATATTGAACATATTTCTTATAGCTGTACCCGCCACTTTGGTCGCATAAAATAGTGACCTGTAAACTTTCATCCGCTATTTTATTTTATCCCCTTAAAATTTTTACAAACTTAGAACAACATATTTATTTATATTTAATCAACAGCCTCAAAAATAAGTTTCAAGTTTCTAGCTTTAAAAATGACAAATTTAAGTACATAAAAAAAATTATCCCCTAATTTATTTAACCCCCTTAAGAGTAAAATTTTTAAAAACTTTTTATGTCATATTTATTTATATTTAATTAGCAGCCTCAAAAATAAGTTTCAATGTTTTAGCTTCAAAAATTACGATTCTTCCATACAATCTTTCATCCCCAATTTCAACCCTTTATAACCCTATTTTCGCATTAAAAAGTAGCCTATGTCCTTTCTCAGGGTCTAAACTATATGTGTACCAAATTTAATTTAAATCAGTTCAGTAGTTTTGTCATGAAAGTGACATAGACAGACAGACAGAGTTACTTTTGCATTTATAATATTAGTAAGGATAAAGTAAAACCTAGAACCTGTCTAGTATTTCTATATTGCTGTTGTATGCTCTAATGTATTATATAAACCTCTGACATGTTAATTAATAAAGCTTTCTCCACATGAAAATTATTACTTGTAAATCCCCATGAAGGGAGAACTAACGTCATACTCATCCATCATCCTTCACTAGTGCTAACACTAACAGAAATTTTTCAGGACAAAGAGTGTAAATATTCTGTACATTGGAAATTCAAATTTGCGAATTCAAAATATGTTTATTCATGTAGGTGCATTACAGACTTATGATATGTCAAATCTACCATCAGTTCTGAATGATTTCGAGATGAGAAGAATTGACAAGAATCTCAGCTTGTATTCTTTTCAAATAAATGTTATACATGTTTACAATAATATAGATTCATTATAAATTAAAATTTGGGAGAATAGAGTGACCATATTGATACCATACCACGCGATGACTGCGAACAGGGGTGAATGGAAGCGAAAAACATATTACGCCGACCCATCGATGATGAGAGTGACCATATGATATTGCAAAAGCAAAAAGTCCAATCAGTGTTCATAAACTGAACAGACCAGTCCCCACAAGCAGCACCCGTTCACGAGTATGACGGATGAGCCAGCCATCATTGCACTCAACCATATTAGAGGGAACACATTGACCTGGCCAGCTATCTATAAAAAGTTTTATTTTATATCTATCTATCTACCTATATTTATTCTTATTTTATTTATAATCCTTTATTGCTCCAATATTAAAAGCAGATACTTTAAAATATAACAATACATTAAAGAAAGAAGAAAGTACATGGGAAGGTATATGGGATATTTGGTTTTAGGCAAAACAACAACAACAGAGCGGATGCTATTCTACTCAGGGACCATCCGGTCCATGGGTGAAGTGCACCATGGGAACACCGTCACGGATTACATGGAGCAGGAGAGGCAGCGAGGCATCACAATCACTTGTAAGTTCAGGCTATTCATATAGTTGTGTGTATATTTCAATGCAATTTTAATAGTTATTATTATAAACTAGCTGTTCTCGTGACTTCGTCTGTGTGGATTTTAACCTTATTTTTCTAAAATAAAAATAGCCTAAGATACTCCTTAATGAATCAGCTATCTGTTAAAAAAACCCGTCAAAATCGGTCCAGCCCTTTCAGAGATTAGCCGGAACAAACAGACAGACAGACAAAAATTGTAAATAATGTTATTTTGATGTATGTACTGTATTTATATTCATATGCATGTAAAAAATGGTTATCTTTAGGATTTTTTTTTCTTTGCCTAAAGGAAAATGTGGTAACTATAAAAAAATATTTATTTATTTACACAACTATTATTACAGGCCTAAGCCCAATAGAACAGTGTATCTAATAAAAAGAGCAACACACAAGTTTCTTACTCATTCTTGTAATGAATCTGCATTCCGAATGAGCGGTAGAATCAAAATATGACTATTCAAAAGTGCTTGTAATGAGTTTATTTGAATAAAGATTATTTCTATTTCTATTTCTACTATGTGAATTCACACAGACTACTCACAAACAAACCTTTTCTTTCTGCTATTTCATTAAGAGTGGCCAGTGCGAGCGTCAGCGGTGTTTTGTTTAACAAGTCAGTTCTGCATATTAAACTTTTATTACAGCTGCAGCTGTATCCTTTCAATGGAATGGAAATCAAATTAATCTGATAGATACACCTGGCCATATAGACTTCACAATGGAGGTGGAGCAGAGCCTCGCTGTTCTAGACGGCGCTGTTGTGGTCCTAGATGCATCTGCGGGTAAGATCTATAAAAATATATGCCAAGGTTAACATTATACAAATAAATAAAATTAAAGTGTCTATCTGTTATTTTAAATTAACAGCTTTGCTAAATTAAATAAATATATTTTTGTTTATATATAATATATACTGTATTTCATATGAATTTAGTGTAAGCATTTTGTTTCAGTAAATGAGGTACTTACATAAAAAAAGTATTTAAAAAAATATATATGTCTATGTATTTGTTCTTGCTGTCTGTTAAATCTCTGGAACGGCTGGACTGCTTTTAAAAGACATTTTCAAGTATAATAACTGGTTTTATTTTAGATTTTTATAATAAAAAAGTTAATATGTGTATATATTTATAGAATAGAATAGAAAATCATTTATTAAAATAAACTTAATTTAAGCACTTTTCAATAGTCATAACAATTTGATTTTTTATCTCTTCTTCTTCTTAGTCCGTACACTCTTGTCAGAGTGGTCGTGGTCAACGTTTTGAATCACGATGAGTGAGGTTTTTGGTAATACGGCGCCATTCGTCGCGGACTGTAGCTTTCCGGGTACATTCGTAAACTGAGCACTTAGTTGCGGCCTTGATCTGGTCTGTCCATCTCATTGGTGATCTACCACGTGGCCTGGTGCCTTCCACATTTCCCTGCACTACGAGACGCTCTATGGAGTCATTACCACCTCGAGATACGTGGCCGAAGAAGGTCAGAATGCGTGATTGCACTGTGGATGATAGGCGCTGTCTGATGCAGAGTTCTTTTAATATGGAATCATTTGTACGAAACTTTGTCCACGATATTCCTAGCATCCGTCTCCAGCACCACATCTCTAACGCATCAACTTTCTTCTTCTCCGTTTTTTATCTACCACTAATAAATTATAGTAATATCACTTCTCCCAATATTGTTGCACATGTACCAGAAGCAAGTCTAATCACTCTTAACCATCGTAAGGTTGCCTAAAAGAAGTCACTTTAACATTATAATGTTGCCCATTGGTATCTCTTTATCGTGTTTATTTATTTTTATCTCTTTACTCACAATTGTGGATATAACTGTAATTTATGTGAGAGGAACAATAGAGTTACATTCATTAATCAATTAAAGCAATTTATAAAAATATTTACATACAGGAGTTGAAGCCCAGACCCTGACAGTGTGGCGGCAGGCCACCGGCTACCGGGTGCCGCGGTTGGTATACCTCAACAAGATGGACCGGCCCGGCGCCGATACCGCCGCCTGCCTTCAATCCATACGAGATCGTCTCCACGCCACCCCCCTACTGCTGCATCAGCCGGTGCGGATCCAGGATCGGCTTATAGGTGTATGAGATGTTGCCATATTGTTCAATCTGCTTATATTATAAAAGAGATGGATGGAAGTAACACTTTCACGTAATAACTACTGAGCGGATTTTGATGAAACTTTACAGTAAGATAGCTTATACACAAGACTAAATATATTGTTAGGGAATATACTCTCTGGCACCAAAATGTTAGGGAATTTACTATGTATATATATAGGGAAAAATATGTGTGGAAACGTCTGTCACGTACCTGTATGGTTCTGCGGATTTCTTGGGCTTCAGGGTTTCGAAGATATTTTCGCTAGCTTTCCAGTTTCACAGTAGGTTTCACAGGTCTAATTTATTTTAATTCACAACACAATGCGCGCGCGCGTCAAGGCCGCTGTACGGTCAGTTCAGTACTAGGTAAGGGAGGGGAACAGAAACTAACGGACTCTAATATAATAATCTGTGCTTACGATGGTACAGGGTAGATTTTGAACATATATAATGATAAATGTCAAGTCAGTATGATGCATACATTGCGCGGATCAGCTAGTTTAAATACAGTCTGTGCTACTCGTTGATAATTTAGCGTATTGTAGCTGAAATTTTTAAAGTATGCATAGTATTTTTGGAATTTATTATTTACAATCAAATAAAAAATATAATTTTTAAAGTATGCATAGTATTTTTGGAATTTATTATTTACAATCAAATAAATAACTTATGCGGAATGAACCACCTGTCCAGCTTTTCTCTAGAGACTACAGCATGGTATTTTCAGCAGGGTATATTAAGGTTTTTTAAGAGTCGGCAACACGCATATGACCCTGGTGTTTCAGGCCCCCATAGGTTATGGTAACCATCAGACGGGCCTTATGATTGATTGCTTTCGTAGATTATACTTTTTGTGGTCGCCTCTACGCACTCTGAGTCTGAGTTTGTGCAAAGTAAATTTATTGAAAATCTTTATACCAGTATCAATTTTTAGGGCTCATTGACTTGATCACCCTAGAAGAAATAATATGGACGCAAGGTCGCGGGAGGAACTTCACGCGGCGGAAACTCACTGAAAAAGATGACGGAGCTCTATGGGAGAGTTCTGTGAATGACCATAGACAACTCGTAGATACACTCTCCTCTTTAGACGACAAGCTAGCAGATAAAATTATACAACAGGAGTCTATGGATAATCTGTCAAATATAGAAATTGAGGCTGCTGTTAGAAGATGTTGCGTAGACATGACGGTGTTTCCGATTGTCTGTGGTAGTTCGTATAAGAATATAGGTGTTCAGACCCTAATGGATGCTGTGATTAATTATCTCCCATCACCACTGGAGTGCAATGAGCTGTATAAGAGTTTTGGTACAGATTTGTCAGCGAGAGCATTTAAGGTACAGCATGATGATCAGAGAGGGGTGCTGACTTTTCTGAGGCTGTACAGTGGGGAGATCAGTAAGGCCCAGAAGATTTATAACTTGGCCAGGGACAAGAGTGAACAGGTGAGTAATGCTCTGATATTTTTCAAATATTATAAATGCAAAAGTAACTCTGTCTGTCTGTCTCGCTTTCACGCCAAAACTACTAATCCGATTTAAATTAAATTTAGTACACAGATAGTTTAGAACCTGAGAAAGGACATAGACTACTTTTTAATGCGAAAAAAGATTGTAAGGGGTTGAAAGGTCAGATAAAAGGTTGTATGGAAGTAACGTCATTTTTAAAGTTAAAAGCTCGAAACTTATTTTTTAAGCTGTTGATGAAATGACATTCAAATTGTTTACAAATTTGAATAGAATAGAATAGAATAGAAAATCATTCAAATAAACTTAATTTAAGCACTTTTAAATTTGTTTTTTATCTACCACTTTTTCGGAAAGCCGTCTCATCACAAGAAGAATGAGCAAGAAACTTGTGTGTTGCTCTTTTAAATAATCCTTGTAAGTTTACATTTACAAGTCGAAACGTGTGAATACAAACTACCTTTTTTGGGTCAGATATAAATATACAATAAGATTAAATCAGTCGTAGTGATAAGATTTGGTACAATAAAATCCCCTATTTTATTGTACCAAATCTTATCACGAAAGTTTGTGGTGAAGTAGGGAAAAACGTGAGTAAAAACTAGTTGTCTTTACCAGGGTGGTGCATTGTACGTAGCGCTGGCAGACGAGTACAAACAGGTGGAGATGGTCACACCTGGTAACATAGCTGTCGTAAGCGGACTTAAGGTAATTTTTTATAGCATTGTGGTCATGATCACGCTGCGTGTCCTGGTCCTGAGATGTTATTCTTATTATTGTACTTACAATAGCTCTTGATGATAATGGAATGGTGTGTTGTAGCATGTAACAAATCACTCAATCTTATATATAAAATTCTCGTGTCACAGTTTTCGTTCCCATACTCCTCCGAAACGGCTTGACCGATTATTATGAAATTTTGTGAGCGTATGAGTAGGTCTGGGAATCGGCCAACATATATTTTCTCCCCCTAAATGTTAGGGGTTAACACACTATTTTTTTTTTTATTTTAAGGCAAAACAACGTTTTCCGGGACAGCTAGTGGTTTATAATATTTTGACGTCGATTGTCATTCTACTTCTTGTATTACAATTTTACAAATGTCTACCAATACGTGTTGTTTTCTTTAATAATATTTTTCTCCAATATAGTGCACCCACATGGTTAACGATTTATGCTGGCTGGGCACCAGTGGAGGATGAGGTCAGGTCAGTTAGCACATCGTGGTAAATTCATCATGTATTGTCATGATGGTTTCCAGGGGGAACCACGTGGATGTCAACTGCTATAGTACATTGCTAGCATTGTGGTTATACGTCCACATTACTAACAATCAAATGCAAATTTAAAAATCATATATTCATGTAGGACATTTTAGTTGCTTATGAACATTAAATTTTTTGTATTATATTTTTTCCCTACCATCCAATTCAGTATATAGATTCAATTGAAACGAACTGCCAAGAAACTCAATTTACTTCCTTTTTTATTTTTTAAACGGCAGCTTATTTACATTATTTAGAAAAAGAAAGAAAAAGTTTATTTGTTTATTTATTAATAAATAAATAAATTTATTTATTGGCAACCATTATTGATATAAATATACATTTGACATAGGTACATTTTACTTATATAGGTGTCTATGTCTAGCATGAAATGAAAATCTCGTGCTTGAACAACTATTGCCATGCACGCTCGTCATCACCATTCAAGTAATCGTTTAGTAAGTAATAGGCTCTGCACTGTACATATGATTTAACAGATGTTATTTAAGGGTAATTCCAGTATATCCTTCGGTATCTTTTTGTAATTTTTTGTACCCATTCCCATAAAAGACCCATTGACTTTTCTAAACGATATTTAGGAACAGCAAGTTTGTTTTTAAATTTAGTTTTTTTTTCGGACTACTCTAATGCTGTTGGCTGCAGCTGGCCTTTACAGCTTCACCGGACGATAGGGGGCGAGTGCAGATGACACTCCAAACCCGCGGAAGGACATATGGAGCGGCTGAAGGCCAACTTCCGCCTGACGGATACGACTTTAGTCTGAGAGCACCACTAGGGGTTCGAGCCTCGGCTCAGGCCGTCGTAACATCGATCCCCGTTGAATTGGACGGGGGATCGATCGGAGGGGCGACCGGGGGCGCCGGTGTGGAGCGCCCGGGCGCGCGCTGTCGCCCGGTTGAATGCTATTAATGTTATAAATTTTGCTGTTTTTTGGAAATGAGTAATCCCACTTACCTACTTTCCCTTTACAATAAATAATTACCCCGCTATATTTTTTTTTTATTACAGGCAACTATGACCGGGGATCTAGTGACGTCTTCCCAGGCGGCTGCGAACCGGGCCAAGAAGCAATTGGCTACCACGCTGGCAGATGGAAACCAGTTGGATAGGCTCACGTTGCCGAGCGCCCGCCAGCGGATCCAGGGTTTGGAAGAGCCCACCAGGGAAGAACTGGCCAACATACTGCTGGGAATTGGTAATTATTTTTCTGAATTTCTTAGATAATCAACAGCTTATGTAATATATACGCAGGTGTGCCATTGTTGTTGTGCCATCAAAGTAGTATAAAAAATACTATTAACAATACGAAATTTATAATACAATTAATAGCTGTGGGAAACTGGAGTCTGATATAAGTATAAACTATAATATGGGTCACCAGTTTAATCAAATATACATGTAACTAGTTGTGACCGCGACTTCGTCCGCGTGTTATAATGACCTTAACCAAATATAGAAAAAAATATTTAATAATCTAACCCAAAAAAGGCAAATAAAAAAGATTCCTCGTTATAGTTTCATAAATGACGATTTTCTATACAAACTTTCATCCCCATTTTTTTATCCCTTAAGGGTAAAAATTTTACAAACTTAGTCATATTTATTTATATTTAATGAACAGCCTAAAAATTAATTTCAAGATTCTAGTTTTAAAAATGACCATACTTCCATAGAACCCTTCATCTCCCCTTTCAACCCATTACAACCCTTTATTCGCATTAAAAAATAGCCTACGTCCTTTTTCAGGGTCTATACCAGAGGTTCCCAAACGTTTTTAAGTCGTAGAACCCTTGTCATATTTTTCGGTTTTGGGGAGAACCCCATTCTTACCTGGTATTGTTTTTTGTAAATTTCTAACTGTAGTAAAGTTTAGTGTTAAAACATAAAGTAAAAACAACAAGATGACCGCTATCGTAGACCCCTTGCAGTTTGTCATAGACCCCTGGAGGCAGATATAGACCACTTTGCGAATCACTGGTCTAGACTATCTGTGTACCAAATTTCATTGAAATCGGTTCATTAGTTTTGGTGTGAAAGCGAGACAAACAGGCAGACAGACAGAGTTACTTTTGCATTTATAATATTAGTAATGATGTAAGGATTGTATGCTTCAATGGAACAGGTACAACGGCTCCAGAGCCGGTGTTCCTGTGCTCCATCGAGCCGCCCAGCGCAGCAGCACAGAACGCGCTAGAAACAGCGCTCCAGCAGCTGCAGAGGGAAGACCACAGCCTGCACGTGTCCGTCGACGAGGACACCGGACAGATGGTGCTGGCTGGTAACGATTGCATATATTACTACGCATATTTTGTGCTACATTTAGCACTAGCTATTACCTGGGATGGGCTATTCTTGTTGGCGGTGCAAAGATAATCATTAGAAATAGAAATAATCTTTATTGAAATAAATTTGATATAAGTACTTTATTTCACATTTTTTTTTATTCTACCGCTCATTCGGAATGTAGACTCATCACAAGAAGAATGAGCAAGAAACTTATGTGTTGCACTTTTAAATAAGTATTGTTTTAATTAGATTTACATTAACAGGGGTTAGGCATGCGACAATCAACATAGAAACCGCTACGCACTTAATCTCTGTTCAATCAGATAACATTGTCAGCGCTATGAATTTACTAAGTTACTAAGTACAAATGAACAAACTAGTTATATTTTACGACCTAGGTGGTCTGGCGGTTTAACACACCGCTTTAGGCCCTATGGTCGCGGGTTCGATTCCTCGCACGGCACAAGCATTTGTATTCATGAGTATGATTGTTTGTATCGGTCTGGATATCGGAGATGTATGTATTTACGAAAAAAATATATAAATATCTATATATTTGTATCAGTAATCTAGTACCCGTAACACAAGCTTTAGCTAGCTTATCTTGAGTCTAGATGGCTCTGTGTGAATTGTCCTGAGATTATTATTATTATTTATTGCACGCAGGTATGGGTGAACTGCACTTGGAAATCATAAAGGAGCGGATAGTCCGCGAGTACAAGATCGATGTAGATCTTGGACCCCTCCAGATTGCCTACAAGGAGATGCTGCAGAGTTCCGCACGAGGCTCCTCCGCCGTCGACCGTAAGATTGGTGGTCAGCGCCAAGTCCTCAAGGTTGATCTCTCCGTCGCCCCAGTGCCTGGTCTTCCGGCCGATAGGATCCTCAAGTGAGTGCATTTAGAATTGTATGAGAAGGATATTAGAATAGAATAGAAAACCAGTCATTCAAATAAACTTAATTTAAACACTTTTGAATAGTCATAATATTTTTTTTAAACGATCGCTCATTCGGAAAGCTGTCTCATCACAAGAAGTACGAGCAAGAAACTTGTGTGTTGCTTTTTTAATAATAATAATCTTAGGACAATTCACACAGCGCCATCTAGACCCAAGTTAAGCTAGCTAAAGCTTGTCTTATGGGTACTAGACAACTGATACAAATACACAGATTTTTTTTTCGTAAATGCATACATATTATACATAGAAAACACCCAGACCGATACAAACAATCATACTCATGAATTCAAATGTTTGTGCCGTGCGAGGAATCGAACCCGCGACCATCGGACGTAAAGCGGTGTGCTGGACCGCTAGACCACCGAGGTCGTCATAAATCGTCGTAAACAATCCAGTAGATGTAGATTTTATAACACCGTGTTTATAACACACCGTGTTTATAACGCACCGTGTTTATAACACACCATGTTTATAACACACCACACCAACACATAAGTTTGTGAGTATGGATGAATGTATGTTTGTTACTGTTTCACATAAATATTACTAACGAATTTTGATCAAACTTTACAATAATATAACTTACGTATCACAAATAACATATAGGCTATAAATTAAAAAATTGTCCGCCATTTTGCAATGATAATTATTACAAAATGGCGCTAAAGCACGCACGATTGTTGTACGTGTGAACGCGCTCACTGTTTGCGCGCGGTCTCTCTCGTTCTTTGTCTACATTTACATGCACATGATTTCCTGCATGAAAGCAGATTTCCACGTGAAAAAGCGTGTAAAGGCAGATAATTATGCGAGGTGTTATACTGTAATGGATGCACCGTCCTCGCCCTGATGAAGTCCAAACAATTATCATGGAAGACAGAAACATAGCAAGTTCTGTTTATTCGAACTATTCTAATGCTGTTGGCCACAGCCGGACTTCCGGGATAAGTGCAGATGGCACTCGAATCGCCCTGATGAAGTCCAAACAATTATCATGGAAGATGGAAACATAGCAAGTTCTGTTTATTCGAACCATTCTAATGCTGTTGGCCACAGCCGGACTTCCGGGATAAGTGCAGATGGCACTCGAAACCGGAGCGGCTGAAGTCCAACTCCCGCCTGACGGCGACTTTAGTCCGAGGACACTAGGTTACCGAAATTTCGATCCCTGTTTTAATTGGACGGGGACTCGATCTGAGGGGGATAGTAAATTCATTAAATTCTTGTACATATATATATTTATACATACATACATATATATATTTATATGTATGAATGATTTATATTTTATATGCGCCATATATATATATATATATACTGTTAGAAACATCTAGAAACTTCCTCGACAAATGACGTACGTCATTCTGACGTTTAAATTTAATTCACCTACAAATGCGCGCCAAATTCAAATAATGAATGTCAATGACTTTCATTTACATATATATATTTCATATTTATATATATAAATATACAATCCTTACTAATGTTATAAATGCGAAAGTAACTCTGTCTGTCTGTCTCGCTTTCACGCCAAAACTATAGAACCGATTTAAATGATATTTGGTACACAGGTAGTCTAGAACCTGAGAAAGGACATAGGCTACTTTTTTATCCGAAAAAAGGGTTGTAAGGGGTTGAAAGGGGAAATGAAAGTTACATGGAAGTTTCGACAATTTACGCGGACGAAGTCGCGTGCACATCTAGTAATATACAAGTTTTAAAACTCTAATATAAATAATTGCATTAATGCATTAATACTTTTTTAAATTGTTGTAGATTGGATAAATCGCAGGACAGCGCTGCAAACCTGTCCCACCTGCATCCTCGCAGCCTGCAGGCCATCCGTCAAGGTGTACACTCCGCCTTGCAGCATGGACCCAAAATTGGTTGCCCGGTACACATAATACAATAATAATAATATCTCCAGACAACGGCTACCTTTTACCATCGCACCGCTCGCAATCGACAGGGAATTCAGCCCCACACGCTGGAACCTAAGTGCTCCCAAACAGTGCGGTTTCAGAGTAGCTTCCTCCCGCGTACACTTAATGTGCAATGAACCTGCCGAGGTTTTCTCACAAGACTACAGCATGGAATTTTTTAAGAAGGGTATATTAAGGTTTCTTAAGGGTTGGCAACCCCTGATGTTTCAGGTGTCCATAGGCAACGGTAACCATTTACCATCACATGGGCCGTTTCCTTGTTTGCAACCATAGCAGTATAAAAAAAATTAATTACTTAAATTTTATATGATTTGCTTGAAAAAATAAAAAATAATAGCCGCTTAGCGAAATCTGTGATTAAGTAAACAATTTACACAGCGCCACCTAGACTAAAGTTAAGCGAGCTAAAGCTTGTGTTATGGGTACTAACTAACTATTATATAACTGATACAAATACATAGTAAACATCCAGATCGATACAAACAATCATACTCGTGAATACAAATATTTGTGCCGTGCGAGGAATCGAACCCGTGACATCGGAAGTAAAGCGCTGTCATAGACTACCGAAGCCACGGCCGTTTATAAAAAGAAGTTTGACATTTGTCAATCACTTATTAGCATAATTGTGTGACGATGTGTTGACGTTGTAGATTATTGACGTACAAGTGACGCTCCACTGGTTCGAGTCCGCGAGGGGCACTTCCGAATCGGTAGTCACGGCCACTGTCGCACAATGCTTGCGAAAGGTAAGTAATAAAAAATATTATTTTTCCTTGATAGGTCAATAGATAGCTTGAGACTTTGGTGACCGTTCACCATCAGATCGACCGTATATTTGTCCGCGACTATTCTATTGACATTTGTAGTTATAATACTCAATTTTGCCAAATGAAAAAACTGGGAAAAAATTAAATAGAGTAAGAAAACGCCACTACACATATGTGGCTGTACTGCATACTCATGCATATACGAAATAAAAATACACTTTACCACCTCCCTCCGATCGGTCCCCCGTCCAATTCAAACGGGGATCGAAATTACGACGGCCGAAGCCGCAGTTCGAACCCCTAGCGGTACCCTCAGACTAAAGTCGTATCCGTCCGAGGGGTGTTGGCCTCCATCCGCTCCATGGGTCTTCCTTTGGTTTGGAGTGTCATCTGCACACGCCCACTATCGTCCGGTGAAGCTGTAAAGGCCAGCTGCAATTACAGTAGTCCGAAAAAAACTTAACCTGACTGTTTACCACTTAACATCACACATAATTTGCGCAATACAAATGCGAGGTAACTGCTAGCGCAACGCGAGTACTTCAGTTTAATTTATAACCTCTGTGCGAACGGCAGTTAGTCTCCTGAGGAACGCTACTGGGTACTATTACGAAGGTCCTATATGAATTATATGTTTTTAATTTGAATATATATTGATGTGGCTCTAGCTGTTGGAGCAGGCGGGGTGCGCGGTGCTGGAGCCGGTGATGCGGCTGCAGGTGTCGTGTCCGGAGTCTCACTCGGCGCGGGTGCTGGCAGACCTCGCCCGGCGACGCGCCGCGCTGCACCACGTGCACCTGCGGCACGGACACAAGGTCTCCACACTGCGACACCTCCCACCGACTCGACACACGCGCGCCCACGTACACGCAACACACGGATTACACGCACGCACAAGCTCCTACATGCATCACATGACGACCTCGGTGGTCTAGCGGTCAAGCACACCGCTTTACGACCGACGGTCGCGGGTTCGATTCCTCGCACGGCACAAACATTTGTATTCATGAATATGATTGTTTGTATCGTCTGGGTGTTTTCTATGTATAATATGTATGTATTTACTAAAAAAATATCTATGTATTAGTATCAGTTATCTAGTACCCATAACACAAGCTTTAGATAGCTTAACTTGGGTCTAGATGGCGCTGTGTGAATTGTCCTGAGATTATTATTATTATATTATTACATTCCCACTTCTACAAGCAAAACACATACGTTCCCACACACACACTCTGCCACACGCAACACACATGTGGAAGCGTGTGTATACACGTCCGTCCGTCTTACGGAGACTTACTGTCATTTATTTTAACAGAACGTCTTTTAATATGAATCTACCCTATTACGTATCTAATTTATTAATCATATTGACATTCTTTATCAGAAATTGAAAGTATATACAATAAAAAAATGTAAATTGTTAATTACGTAAATCGCAGCCTTAGGACTTATAAATACTAAAATTATTTAAATATAAATTTATTTTATAATTACAGTATATTCAAAATTATTTATTACTAATTATAATAAAAAGAGGTGACTCTATCGAGGCAAGGATAGAAATGGCGGACGGAAGCCCGGTTCGGTTGCACATTTACACAACCGCGAAGTCACGTTGCCGGCGCTGGTGCACCTTCCGCTACATCAGCGTTGGAGCATTGCGTTTGGTTGACACCAAAATCCATGTAGAATCTAGGTCACTCTTCATCAGTGATATTAGGGTGTCTATGTATTGTAATGTTCATAAATAAATATATGTGTATATACTTACAGGTAATCGACAGCCTGACGCCTCTGTCGGAGCTGCTGGGGTACTCGACCACGCTGCGTTCCCTCAGCTCAGGACTGGCCACCTTCACCATGGAGTTCCACTCCCACCAGCAGATGTCTCCTCACGACGAAGAGAAAGCCATCAGAGATGTCACTGGCTTTTAGTTTATGCATTACGGAAAAGCAAGACGTTCAAGTTTTCTGGAATGGCAACATCTAGATATGCCATTCATCATATCATAAGAGGCATAACCAAGTCCGCTGGATCAAGTCAAAATATCTTTATTCATGTAGGTCTATTACAGACTCTTATGATGTCTCAAATCTACCGTCAGTTCTTAGTGCTTTCAAGGTAAGAACTGACAAGAAACTCAGCTTTTCAATGAGAATTTGTTATTAGAAAAGTCCAGAATCATTGCACCGGGTTTTAAAACTGTCATTAGTTGCTTTTAGACGTAACGTCCTGTCACGCGTGAATCTGCTTTCTCGCTGGAGAGAATGTGCATGTAAATGTAGACAAAGAGAAGGACAGAGGCCGCGCGTATATTGAACATTGAACACATTACCGCGTCCTTCTATCGTGCGTGCTTTAGCGCCCTATTCGAATAATTAAATATCATTGCAAAATGGCGGACATCTGACCATAGAGTAAAAACACCGATAGAGTTATTGATAATTTATAAACTTTAAATGTGTCTTTGAGAAAATAAAATCTGTGAAATCTATACTCTATACATATAAATAATTAGAGTATCTGTTTTTAATATTGAAATAACAGTTTTTTACTATATGCATATGAATATAAATACAGCACATACACCAAAATATTTTTTTTTATAATTTTTGTCTCTCTGTCTGTGTGTTCCGGCTAATCTCTGAAATGGTTGAACCGATTTTGAGAGGACTTTTATTGACAGGTAGCTTATGAAATAAGGAATTACTTAGGCTACTTTTATTTTAGAAAAATAAAGTTAAATTCCACGCGGACACAGCTAGTCTGTAAATAAAATAAACTTAATTTGCTGTGACATGTTTATTTATTGTTATGTACATTGGTCTCGTACATATAGTGTTATATTATGTTAGACAATATGTAATAAATTATGTTCTATAAACTTGCGCTGTTTTATTTCAATACAATTCGGTGATTACATAACAGCCTGAAAGGAAACAGAGAATATATTACCTTCAATCAAAACAAACTACAAAGAATACGATATCCATATATCATCGGTTAAATACAAAAATGGCAGTATTCAAAACGTAAGTTTTTTTACAAAACAAGCAATTAAAGTTTTTGTTTTTTTTATTTATTTAAATTCTTTTTCCTTTAAAGCTTTGAATTGACGCAGAATAATTTTGAAAAATGTAATTTTTCTATTTAATCAACGATAGGTATGTATATAACAATGCCTCATATATCTATATGATATAGATACAGATGCAGGTAACTTTATACAGTCCATCGCGGTCGTGGATATACGGCGTGTATGTGTCAAAGTTTGATGAGTTTTCTGGTAGTTTTGTCGTTAGTAGTTGTCACTAGTTTAGACGTAGGGCTACTAGTAGGTAGTACTTTTGGTTTAGATGTAGGCCTACTAGTAGGTAGTATATAGACAAGGCCTACTATATATACTTTTGGTTTAGATGTAGGCCTACTAGTAGGTAGTACTTTTGGTTTAGACGTAGGCCTACTAGTAGGTAGTACTTTTGGTTTAGATGTAGGCCTACTAGTAGGTAGTACTTTTGGTTTAGATGTAGGCCTACTAGTAGGTAGTACTTTTGGTTTAGATGTAGGCCTACTAGTAGGTAGTACTTTTGGTTTAGATGTAGGCCTACTAGTAGGTAGTACTTTTGGTTTAGATGTAGGCCTACTAGTATGTAGTACTTTTGGTTTAGATGTAGGCCTACTAGTTGTAGGTATCCCATTAGTAGAAATTGTAAGTAATGTCGTATAGTGAACCCATTGCTCATAATATATACCATGTCAGGTAAACCTCCACGCGGTTCCTCGATTTGTCACGATGGACTAACTGACCTGACCTCATGCTCATCTTATCATCCTCCACTGGTGCCCCGCCAGCGTAAACCGTTAATGGATGCGGGTACATAATTTCATTTAATTAAAAAAGGGCTATGGAATTAGGAGTTTAGTGTGGACATATTTTAAGAGCTTTTTTTTCAGGCTTTTAACGGCATATATTATAAATACCTAATAGACATATATGTTACATATGAATGAATATTATAATACTAAAATAAAATTGTCTCTGCGGTCACGGCACTGACAATGGCAATCTGCCAAGGTAGCGCCGATACACCAGTCAGTTCGGCCAGTAGTCCTCCTTCAGGAAGGTGGTCAGCACATTAGTGGGGACCCGAGCCACAAAAACCTTGAAACTCGCGTTGTGACCAGATATACAAGGTATATTAAATTTATAAATAAAACAAAAGATCTGCTATTTCAAATATAACTTTAATAAGTATAATAATTGATTCAAGTTTGGAAATATTTCTGAACAAAGATTACATAAGGAAAATTCTTACTTCCTTTGGATGAAACTTAAATTAATTAGCTACCTAAACATTAAAAAAAAGTAACTAACATTTACTAGATTTATTTATTGAAACACTAGTATAAAAAGTATATTATTTTAGGGCATAATTTATTGCCTATATATTCCTGTATTTTTTTATTTTGCCTATAGATTATAGTGTTATAAATATATACATATAAATAAAATTGGAGTGACTGTTTGTAATATTAAAATATCCGTTTTTTACTACATGCGTATGAATATAGGTACATGCGTCAAAATTATTTTTTTACAATTTTTGCGTATCTATCTGTCTGTTTGTTCCGGCCAATTTCTGAAATGGCTGGACCGATTTTGACAGGATATTTTTTGGCAGGTAGCTGATGTAATAAGGAGTAACTTAGGCTAATTTTATTTTATAAAACTAAAGTTAAATTCCACGCGCAAGAAATCGCGAGTACAGCTAGTAACTAATAAATTCTATGATTATACATGTATTCCTATCTAAAATATAAACACTTTTAAACACTTAATAACTCTTTACTTCCAAATAACTCTAATAAACTTATTTTATCTTTTTCACTGTTTTGTTTTTTCTTACGATTTATTTTCTTATGAGACAACTTTCCGAATGAGTGGTAGACTAAAAAAACAATAGCTGTGACTATTCAAAAGTGCTTAAGTTTGTTTGAATTAAGAATTTCTCTTTGTATACTATTCTATTCTATTCTTTATTCGAATGAAAATGACAATCAGTTAAAATGAGTTCATAAGTAATAAAAATAACCCTGGACAATTTACACACCGCCATCTAGTCCCAAGCTAAGCTGAGCTTGTGTTATGGGTATTAGACAACTGATACTTTTTTAGCACTTTTAGCACTCAGTTACTTTTTTTTGTAAATACAGAATATACATAGAAAACACTCAGACAGATACAAACAATCATATTCATGAATATAAATTGTACCGTGCAAGGAACCGAACCCGCAACCTATATCACTAGACCACTGAAGGCGTCAGAGTTCGTAGTTTTCATGACGGGTAATTATTTATTTAACTTCAATACACAAAAATAATGCGTACATATGGCGGACTTAACATCATGCGGCGTTATGTACCAGGCAACCATAAGTGGTGCAGAGAAAGATTGTTGGCGGTGCACTAATCTGTGGTATAACTATTCTGTAAGCATCACTTACGCATTCAAAAGCGGAATCTGTGGTGATTATACATTGGTTTTCTGTAAAACTCGACAGCAACTGCAGCGCCACACGCTCGAGAGCTGGATGCAGGTGAAACAGGTGCGTGATTTTTATTAAACAGTATTAAATATGACGCGGTCATTATTTATACGTATAATTAGTAAACATCACGAGATCTTACCACGTTTTATATTTATTTACTGATTTCTCGATATTTCGGCAGTGTTTCAACCGCCATGATCACGGGTAAACTGAAGAGCAGCGGGTAGATGGAAAATAAAATCTTTTTATGGGCAGACATATGCGTCTACCTTCACACGTCTTCGTTTGTTGCTACTACTGGAATGGCTCGATATTCATCTCGGCAAACTGTACTCACTATATCATTTGTCAAGCTCAATCGCTTGACGAGTGTTGAGTGGAGCGAAGAGGGAAATGAGTCCTTAAAACGCTTACAGAATACCAATACAGATATGTCTAAAATATATGTCTATTATGTCAAATTATTATACAAGAGAAGGTCGTTTCAAGCTGACGATGGGCGCCGTGAAGTTGGGCGGAAGTGGAGACTGCGGAACTGGCGTCGGCGTTGCAGCGGGCGCGTAGCGAGCCTGCAACGTGACATAAACCCAGTATCATATGAAATAGTGTTTCTTTTACATTAACACACAATTAGGTGATGTGTTTTTTTTATTATTAGTGTAATTGTTTTGTCTGTATCTGGTGAAAGAAGGTTATTTTAGTATGAACTTTTTATATTATAAGGAACAATAAGAAATAACCCTGGACAATTAACACAGTGCCATTTAGTCCCACGTTAAGCAGAGCTTGTGTTATGGGTACTAGACAACTGATATAAATACTTAGATTTTTCTTTTCTAAATACATAAATAATATACACAGATTACATCCCGACCCAGACCGATACAAACAATCATACTCATGAATACAAATGATTGCATCGTATCGTGCGAAGTATCGAACCCTCGACCATCCGAAGTAAAATGGTGTGCTATACTGTTAGATCACCGAGGCCGTCGAATTAAATAAAATAACACAAATTCATTAAGTAAATGGATTTCTATTATTTTATTTAATACCGCTACTATTAGCATGTGTGAGACTACAAACATTCAGCGCGGAAATTTGACCACCGCTACTGGAAGCGTTACGACTTTCCCCACAAGTGATCAAACTCCGCCCTCTACCAAATCTCACACATACTAATATTAGTGGAATAAAATAAAATAATACAAATTCATTAAGTAAATGGATTTGTATTATTTTGTTTAATTCTAACTTCAGCATGCGTGAGACCACAAACATTCAGCGCGGAAATTTGACCACCGCTACTGGAAGCGTTACGACCTTCCCCACAAGTGAACAAACTCCGACCTCTACCAAATTTCACACATGGTAATATTAGCGGAATAAAATAAAATAATACATATCCATTATGTAATGAAATGGACGTCTGTAGAATAACATTTAATTGTATTAAATATTGTCATATTATTTTGTTTCAGTTTTGAAATGAGATAAGTTTTTGTCGGCTATGATGGGGCCGCTATTATTTATGTAGGTATATCTTTGTAGTAGTAGCACCAGGAAGAGGGAGGTGAAGATAAAGAGACCAGGTTGTGGCTAAATAGAAATTTAGATTTTTTAATAACGATAATTTGATAGATTTATAATAAAGAATAATTTACAATGTATATATCGCTGAATAAATGCCAAAAGGCCACAAAACGAAAAACCGACATTTTTTTTCCAAAAATGGTATTTACATCGTTATAATTTTTATATTTAAAAAAGACGCCCATGAATTTAGAGCTAACACGTAGATATACTTTACGATTTACGGATAGTGTGCTTCAACACCGTCGCCTAGCGACGTTGTAGAAATAAGAAATAACAAGCTTGTCAGATTGGGACACAATCGCTTCTTTTCTCATACAGAAATATACGTTTTTATATATATAATCACACTTGTAAATCAAATTTATACATAGCGTTTGCGTTATTTAATATTCCTCCTCCTGTCGCTGCCAGTACCAGCTGAACATAACATAAATAATAGCGGTAACAATATAGACGCTAAATACTTATAGATTTGTAAAAAAAAGTAAAAATATCACAGTAAAAATTTTGATGAGCTCTCCTGTAAAATTTACCGTTTGCGTCATGTGGCCCTTTGGCATTTAATCAGCGATATATACAAGTAAGTGATTCAGTCTCGAATGATACGAGAATATTTCTTCTCAACGTCGTAACTAGGCAACGGTGTTGCCGCGTGATATTGGTAAATTCGCCACAAGTTGATACAGGCGGGTCTCTATGAGGGATTTTCACCACGTAAAAAAAACTTACGACCCGCTTGATGTAAAATCAAGTGTATTGTCAATAATAGAGCTGTAGATTTTTATGAAGTTTAAGTTCGTCATGTAATAATACTGCAATAAAAAGTTCGTGCTCATTTTTATACTCACGGCTGTAATTATGGATGGGGTAGTCAGAGGAATTGTCGACTGTCGATGTTTTGGTGTTCTTATATTGGGGGAAAGAGATTTTTAGTCATGTGGACTAATAACCCCATTGGTAGCAATGTACCATGTCAGGTTGACCTTCACGCGTTTCCACCTAGGAACCAACGTTACCACGTTGTATTCTACGTGGAGCCACGATTGGTTGCCATTTTCGAAGGTGAGCCATCTGACCTGACTTCATGCTCATTTTATCATTCTCCACTGGTGCCTCGCCAGTGTAAAATGTTAGCGCAGGCGAATATACCACTCCATTACCATCCATAAAAACTACTTTTATTAACTTTGTTTATTTCAGGGTATATGTTAAATCCAACAACAAAAATGGTAGAGTTACGTCATAGTTCGTTAGTTATTCAAGAATAAAACAAGACAATCATTACCACTTCTAATTATATGAAATGTATTGTGAATATTCATTAGCACTGTTTATCATGATTAAGAAAATGTAAGTACATTATTTAAATTTCGCCATGGAGAAATATTAATGGTTTGAAGAACAATAAATAAAGAGAAACTAAAATAGCAACTGAATTCTATATATTCATCATCATTTACAATAAGTTAAAAGAGATGGACTGACAAATAAAAATTTGAAATTTATTGTTTATCTTATTACTATACTATTCTTAAACGAAATATAATTTCAAATATCACCTCATATACAGATTCCAAAAGGATAATTTGGTCTACGTACGGTAGAACAGGGTATCAATCTAATAGGAACTATGTGAGTTAAAATGTGACAAATATATATAATTTTGTTGCTTTTTTAGTGCGGTTTCTATTGCTTTAATTATTGTTCTAAAGTTTGAACAATCCCGAGTGAGGTGACAACACTCATGCTTTGAATGTATCTACCTTAACAAGTGAAGGGGGAGCCACACCGCTTTAGCTATTCCAAAAAAATAAGACTATGTTAAACTTCTTACACTTTCAACATGGGCTATATTTAAATAAAATATAACAGCTATAGGTACAACGATATGAAATAACTAAGCAAGTAACCACTACGTTTTACTTGAAACTATAAACTACTTAAAAAAGTATAGAAATAAGTTTTTGAAAATAGAATTAAAGAAAGAAAAGAAAGAAAGAAAGAAAATTGTTTAATTGGTACACTGAAAATAATTTTTAAAATTAAGTTTACATTTTATATTAATAATTAGAGTACCAACTAGGTCTCCGCTCAGCATATGTCGTGACGGGGTGCCACGACGCTGGTTTTCAGCGGACACCTTATATACAATAAATATAATAAAATAATAATATATAATTCATTATGTTCTGTGTAGGTACAGCCATATGAAACAACTGAGCAAGTAAACACTATGTTTTACTTGAAACTATAAACTAATTAAAAAAGTACAGAAATTATTTTTTGAAAATAGAATTCATTATGTTCTGTGTAGGTACAACCATATGATATAACTGAGCAAGTAACCACTACTGTTTACTTGAAACTATTATCTAATTAAAAAAGTATGGAAATAAGATTTTGAAAATAGAATTCATTATATATTCTCTCATATTATTCGTTTGTAGTATAACTATCTTTTTTTTTATTATTTATAAATAAAAATCAGCAAAGGAAGCATTGCATACGTCCATTTTAGAAACGACTTTTGTTAGCAAGCCTTTATATAACTAGATAAGTGAAAAGTTTAGATATTTTTAGAATAGGAAATCAATTCCAAAATTAAATACAGAATAAATAACAAAAAAACTGTTAATTAAAAATACACCAAACAGATTTAGGCATCTTTAGTAAAAAAAAATATTTCTCATGATTACACTATACACTACATGCTACACGCTGATAATGTAAAATATCATTAGGTGAATTATTTTTTGATATAGAGTAAGTATTTTTTTAATTTCCCCATTACAAAAAAAAAGTAATCTTTTTTGCAACATTAATTTAGATGAATGCTTAGTCGTGACTGTAAGCAAGTTACCCAACACCATTACCTCTTACATACTCTTAACACAAACAATTGCTATAATCCACCGAAAAAAAATATTAACACATTAATATTACTCTCTTATTTCCAGAGGTCTATTAACCTTGGTAGATTAACTAATCCTTGCCTTCATCCCTCTGTTTGGGGTTGGCGCAGTATGATATCTTATATTCGGTAGATTATACAATGAGAAATCTTTTAAAACCCATATAATGTAATGACCCAAAGTAAATATGCCAAGGTGATCAATTTCCTCTCGGTCCAAAATTTCTAGATGGTTAAGATAGCGTGTTGTGAAGTTTAGTGAAAGTCAACTACTGTTGTTGGGTGGATGTAAGCAGCACCCTCGCGAACATGAAAAAACTTGACCATTTCTTCCCGGATCAAATTGCTATCAAATCAGATTCATGAACCTTTTTTATATGTTTGAGAATATCCTGCTCCTTAATCAACCCTTAGAACCGCAGCTGACTTTCGCTGGACTTCACACGACAACTTTCTTAACCATCTCAGGTTTTCGACCGGGAGAAAATAATTGACCTGAAAAGCCTCTGGCTCGTGGACTATAACATTATCTACTTAAAGACATACTCGAGATAGTTTCATATTATTACTAAATATGCAACCACTATTTTGTAAACTGTATAAGTGGTTCTATATTCAGCGTGTCCAAAGATCCGCCCAAGTCCCAACATTCACTGGTAGCACACATAAGGTAAAAGAAGAATCATAAAACAACACAGCATTAGCATTTTTTTATTTCCAACAATGTAATAACATTTAATTATATCGTATATTCTATTATATAATGGTTCTGTAAAATCTCCCGCGTCGATTATAGATATTATTGAAAGATTATAAGATTTATTTAAACTTATATTTAAGTACGATGATCTAGTTAGTATAGAAATTATTATCAGATCATAACCACTTATTATATTAGAACATCGTTTCTCAACCATTTTTATGCTACGTTTACATTCTGCCGCTTCCCCTGCCACTCGCGCTGCCGAGCGACAACTGAGCGAAAGAGCTGGATATAAACAGACGCTGCCACTCGCGCACGAATAACCGGCAGCGCCCATGGCATGGGAAGTATCGTGTTTGCACGCTCGCGCTGCTCATTTCCGTACTCACTTCCCTGCCCACTCGGGCTGAGTGTAAATTGGCCTTTATGTCACAACTCACGAAAAAGTAAAGTAAAAGTCCTGCGACCCCTGGTTGAGAACCATACGACCCACGAAAAATACAAAAACTCTATTTTATAGAAGTTAAGTCTGGTTACATTAGCCTTTACAGGTTTTAACTTGCGGTATACTTGTCACACACAAATACGCCGACTGCGATTCCATCAACAGATTTCGTTTAAAAACAAACTCGACTCTTACAGCGACCGCGATCCCGCTTGAGAAACGATGTATTAAACGATGCTTATTAATACATAAAATTAATGTTATTAAAAAGTATCACTTACAGGCAAATAACGGTAATCACATACATTGAATAAAGATTATGGGTGAACAATAAAAACGTCAAATTACAGATGAAGTCACAGTAACATATGAGTTAAACAATCACATAAAGCATTAGACATTATAAAGTAAAGCTTTACTAATTAACATACACGCAGTGGATACAGAAATGAGTACTGAATGTCGTATGTTTAATTAGAGCAAGTGTTGCCTTGTACTAACTATGAAATCAATCTTTAAAATCAATAAAATCAAATTAAAAAAAAACATTTATTCATGTAGGACATTGTAGTCGCTTTTGAACGTTAAATTTATTATATTATATATTTCTTTCCCTACCGTCAAATTCAGTATATAGATCCAATTGAAAAGAACTGGCAAGAAACTTAATTGAATTACTTTTTCTTTTAAGCCAGTTTACTTACAATGTAAATTTATATAGGTGTCTATGTCTAACATTAAATGAAAATCCCGTGCGTGAACAACTATTGCCATTCACGCTCGTCATTCATGTACCGTTTGCTTTAATTTCATCACTTTAAGTGTGTTGCTTTCCTATTTATAAATGAGAAAAGTGATCCGATGTGTTATGTTTAAGGAACTGATACAAAATAAGATAGTATTTATAAAGATAAACAAGTTAAGACTTATCAATATAAACCATCATTAGTTCCAAACTAGATTTGAATTGGAAATATAATAATATGAAATATGTATGGAAGCACCACACTTATAGTGACAGATTAAAGAAACTAGTTCTAATTAAAATGATGTTTAAAATAAAAACAGTATCATGTTGACTATAACAAGAAAGGAGACTCATTATTATTGTATAATTGAATAACAGTAACTATAATTGTAATATATTAATATCTAATAATTATTTACACATATGTAATAAAAGCCTCGTATAGACTAATATTTTAATAGAGAAAAAACATGGGGCTTTTTGATTTTAAATTGAAGCAGTATTATTAGGTAGCACCTTGTACGTACGTGATATATTACATTGTAATTAAATTCATTAGAGGAATCACCAAGGCCTATTAGTAGAGCAATGACAAATAATTTGTCAATAATAATAGATGAAATGGCACTTTCAATCTTTCATGTCATAATTATCACATTCTGGATGACTATATCTAGAGTTTTAGAAACGCTATATTATCGGGGACAAATCTAGGAACATTACTACTTTTAATATATTATTGTAATAAATATAAAATAGTTGATTATCTACTAAATAGCTTATAAGTCATAATTATATTAAAAAAAAACTCCAAAAAAGCAATATATTTAAATTGTGTGGTCCTTTCATCCACTGTTTTGTATGTGGATGTATTTATCTGCGAGCTGACATTCCTTCCTGAAAGTTTATGGTTTCATTACTTTCCAATTTTGTTTAACTTCAATTCACATTGTGCCATGGGTGCATTTAACAGCTCTAGTTAGATCGATGTTAATCTTAATAAGCTTATATACACTCAAGAACACAAGTAAGTAATTAGTCAGTACCTTAGTAATATTTATAATTAGTTACAGAGTTTAATGAAATTTACATATCATCCAGATAAGTAAATATTAATATTAACTTTTTGTTTTATTAAAAAATTCTCACTTTATTAGTAATAGCGGTGCTACTGAAGCCATTTTCCATACAACCTATACATATATTTATAGAAAATATTTCATATTTATAGAATTTTCAGGCTATTTGTGTGTATATGTATTTGTAGGAAAGCCTCGTTAAGATCGAAGATGAAAGAGTTATCGGTTTACCTTGAATATGTTGGTTAGTTCATCGAGCAGTGCCTCATATCTGAATGAGATACGAATGTCGGGTACGTTTGTCCGCGTGATATCGTTGCCGGCTACACCCTCCTTCATGTAGTTGGGTCCAAGCCAATATTGCTTCATCTGGAAATAAACATGTATTTATGCGTGAGAAAAAATGGACAATTAAATAAATAAATTTGATTTTAAAAATAAATCTTATATTAGATTTGCTATCTTCTGTTATATTTAGTTTTTGGCTTTTTATATAAAATTCAGTACATCTTCGAAAATTCCTGGCCAAACAAGATACTTTATCTAGAGTACATAATTATGACAAACTATTAGGGTCTCACATAAATCTCCGAATAGAAAGCTTCACCTACAACTTCTATTGATTTTATATAATAGTAAAAGTAAGATAATTCATGAAAACAATCCATCGTTTGACATGAATAAAAACCTATACATCATCGACTTACTTCACCATAATAAAACGATGAAAAATATAATAATAGAAATAACTAACCTCGTGCGGGAAGCCAGACATGAGTACAGAATTACGTGCCAGTTCGCACATGTCACATGAGCTGAGCTTCCACACCTGAGCAGCAATACTGTACTCCTCCATCAAGGGCTCCTGTTATCAAAAAAAATATTGAGTAAGAGTAAAAATGATGATGATATACGAGTAAACCATCAATTCACATATAAATATGAGATTAAATATTAAGAATTTTTTTTGTTTTCATTTTGAAAGTTACAATCAAATTATATCAGCTAATAAAGAATATTAAAAGTGAAGTAGATAATATTACTCAACAATTTTCATAAAATGTCAAACCCTACTGAGCTATAAAATTGAAATTTAGCGAATAGCTCGCAAAGTGATATCACCAAGTTAGAGAAAATTATAACTAAAAAAGTTATATATTGTGATTGACCATGATATCTTCAACTTAGAAAATATTGAAGACAACTAATTAAATATACTCAATCGTTTATTTACCTTAGTGAAGTGGAATTGCAACGGGTCATCTGTACTCAGCGTAATACAAAGTCCCCTGGCCAAAAACTCCGGCAGTGGATTCCGGTGATAGTTCAGAAATAGCGAGTTGTTGCTCAGTGGCGACATCGCTATGTAAATCTGGGCCAAGTAGTACAGGTATTGGAGAACTGGGACCTGGTAAATTGAGCAGAGAACCGAAATTAACTTTGATGTGGTATAATAAGGTCGATCCAATCATAGGGCTGAGTAAAGTCAAAATAATTTAGAACATTTATATACTATACAATATCTGTATTGATGTAGGTCTATTGTCTGTAAATCTTATGATATATCAAATCTGCCGTCAGCTCGCTCGTTTTTTAGATAAGCAGAACTGACTAGGAATCGTCAGTTTGTTCGGGAGTACTTTCGACCTAAGACAAACATGCCCATCAGCATATGCCATTGCAAATTTAACAAAAAGAAATAATCCGATGTTAGAATTAACAATATTTATTTTATAGTTCTATCAATAAAGAAAAGTAGGATATGGAATGATTGCTGACAAGACAACTGGTGCCGTATATATTGTTAATTAGGATAGTGTAAATGATGTTTCTCATATATTAGCACTGCATATAAAGTACATACCTTTCTGAGCAGCAGGCCATGAGAGATGTTCTCGGCGAGCATGAACCCGCAGACGAGATGCTGCACGGGCCCCGCCTCACCGCAGTGAGGCCGTAGTACGAATGTGTTCAGGCCTTGCTCCCTACGGATAAACAACAGAGTATTTTAAAAAATATATATTGACTTACTTGATCACAAAATAAATTCAACATATTCATGTATGGCATTTAAGCCGTCAATAGCCAGATACAATTAAAAAGTAATAATAATAATAATAATAATCTCAAGACAATTCACACAGCACCATCTAGACCCAAGTTAAGCTAGCTAAAGCTTGTGTTATGGATACTAGATAACTGATACATATATACATAGATATTTTTTTTTATAAATAAACACACGTTATACATAGAAAAACCCAGACAGACTGATACAAACAGTCGTACTCATGCATACAAATGTTTGTGCCGTGCGAGGAATCGAACCCGCGACCATCGGTCGTAAAGCGGTATGCTAGACTGCTAGACCACCGAGGTAGTCAAAAAAGTCAATGTAACTAAGCTTGAACATGATAATGAGGTTAACACAGCCAAAGTGCAGGGAAGAGGATTCTTAGTTATGTAGAACCTGAAACCCTATTACAAGCAATGTACCATGACGCGTAGAACTCCACGTGGTTCCCTCTGAAAACCATTGTGCTGAATTCCTGGTGAATATGTCGTAATGACCTAACCTTATGCTCATCTTATCATCCTCCACTGGTCCCCCGCTAGCTTAAAACATTAGCGTAGTCTCGTGCACCATTCCATTATCGTCCATTAAAAAAATACAGTTTAAATTGTTATTGGTTTATTAAAAGTTATTTTTTTAAGTAAAAAACAAAACTGGAGCCCCTGGGATCTTGCTCTATAATGGGAGGAGGTATATTGTTCCAACATGAGTGTTCTGAGTGTAGAGTGGCGTGACTCACTTGCGGAAATGGTTGAGCACGGTGATGTTGGCGTACATGTAGTAGAGGTAGTAGGCGTAGGGCGGGTTCTCGTCGTCGTCCCAGCACTCGGGCAGCGAAATGTACGAAGTGATTTGAGTGTAGAATGGCGTGACTCACTTGCGGAAATGGTTGAGCACGGTGATGTTGGCGTACATGTAGTAGAGGTAGTAGGCGTAGGGCGGGTTCTCGTCGTCGTCCCAGCACTCAGGCAGACGCACGTCCGCGTCCAACATCGGGTTCTCGGGCTTGCTCTCGTCGTCCACGCTGTCGAACCCGACCACGTGCTGTGGGAATGATGGAACACCTCACACTTAATTTTTCTTTTTTCACATGGATGGAATGAAATTGCAAACAAACCCACCACCATCTCCAATATTTTTTTTACACTATGATGTTAGGATATTCTATACATACATAATAAACAACCAAAACGACACAAACGATCATACGTATGAATACAAATGTTCGTATCGTACGGGGAATCAAATCTACGACCATCGGAAGTAAGGTGGCGCGCTAAACCGTTGCACCACCGAAGTCAATTACGTTGAGTTTATATATGAGTTTGTTTATATATATACAGCTTATGATATAGACTCACTGTCAGGAACTTGTGCAGTTCAATGTTGCTGTTGGGGTCGTTGGTGACTTCGAACAGCGGCAGGAAGATGTTGCTCAGGAACTCTTGGAAGTTGTTCATGATCTTGTTGGACTTGAAGATATCGCTGCAATAGCACGCGACCAGTGTTTAACAAATATATAGATACTAGCTGTACCGGTTGTTTTGCCATATAAAATAATATTGCTATTAAAAAATAGGGATTGATAATAAGAGGGTGAAAATTATTCATCATTAGGGATATAAAATTTAATCAATTCCCGTTCAGTAATTTAGGATTTCATCGCTGATTCGAAACAACGTGACACGAATATTTAAATACTTACAATGTATCTACAGACAGTAACAATAGTGATAAATGCGACAATAATATATAATGACAATCGTAAAACATGAAAATTTAACATTAAAAAATAATACAACAATAAATATATCAAAATATCCACAGAGTAAAGTGTATCTACTTGTTAAAGTTAGGCTCAAAAGGACTTGTATCCAGAGTCGTAAAGCGTAACAATTAAAAAAACGATTGTAAAGCGCCACAGATTCACAATATCGAAATAAAATCACAGGTTATTACGTCGTGGGTTAAAAAATACTCACTATAGGCGAGGTATCTGTATGAGCCAGCGCACGTTGTCAGAGTACACGTTGTACTGTATGGCCCACTTGGCCAGCTTGGCCCACTCGTCCGCGCTCTTCCCGTATATCGACAGCCGGAGCTCCGCATTTTGGTACTTGCTCTCTTCCAAATCCGAGGCCACTTCCTGAAAAAAAAAACGAATATATAGACAAACGAATATATAGATAACTGTCAAAAGAAAATTCTCAAAATATGAAATAGATAATTACTATCCGGGCAGAATATGAAATCAGTATTCAAAATGTTACAAACAAAATTCCAAAATCAAGTGTAAACGTCTAAGGAGCCAGTGTAAGCCGTTAAAGCCAGTGTTTGCAATCAGGTGAGCAGGAAAGCCAGCACGCACTCGTAATTGCATTTTACTTTTTTTGTGTTCACTCTTTCGCGCGTAATAGCGCGTATACAAAATGTCATTACACTTTCTTTTATTGTTTTTTACATTCTATTTTCTACACGTGTAACATTTATAAATTATCAGTAACTCTATAATTATATCTTTGTATATCTATAATTATATCATTGCAAAATGTCGGACAACTGGCTTCCATAGCCAGTTGTCCGCCATTTTGCAAAGATAATTATTATAAAATAAAGTACGCACGATTGAAAGACGCGAGAATGCGCTCACTTTTTGCGCACGCGGTCATTCTCGTTCTCTTTGTGTACATTTACATGCACATTCTATCCTACGTAAGCCGAATCGCGCGTGAAAGGGCGTACGTGTAAAGGCATTCTACTAAGTACCTTTTTTTTTATACTACGATGGTGGCAATCAAGCATTCGGCCCATCTGATGGTAAATGGTTACCGTAGCCTATGAACGCCTGAAACACCAGGGGTATCACGTGCGCGTTACCGACCCTTAAGAAACCTTAATATACCCTTCTTGAGAAACCCCATGCTGTAGTCTCGTGGGAAAATATCGGCAGGAAGTTCATTCCACAATCTAAGTGTACGCGGGAGGAAGTTCCTCTGAAACCGCACTGTTCGGGACCACTTAGGTTCCAGCGTATGGGAATGAATTCCCTGTCGATGGCGAGCGGTGGTAAAAGGTGGCTGTCGGCATCATGTCGAACAATTCCTCAGAACACAGTCCGTTGTATAATCGGTAGAACACACAAAGCGAAGCGAAGTCTCGCCTCAAGCTAAGTGGCTCGATACCACCTGTACCTGGATGAAGTACTCACTTTAATGATCCTAGCGAAATATTTGCCATTCATGTAGTTGTCAGTCTTGAGGAACACCTCCCGCAGCCTGCTCTCGCCGATCGGATTGTACTTGGCGTTGAACTTATCGAATCGGTGGAAGGTATTCCTGTCCTATAGATAGAATAGAATAGAATAAAAAATCATTTATTCAAATAAATTTTCAATGTACCGCTCATTCGTGAATAGCTCACTTTTGAATAGTCAAAACATTTTTTTTTAATCTACCGCTCATTCGGATAGCTGTCTCATCACAAGAAAAATGAGCAAAAAACTTGTGTGTTGCTCTTTTAAATTATTTAGTTATTTCCGTACATTTGTAGTCATGAGAAAAATAATGAATTTGTGTATTTATTAAATTTATTATTGTGTGTTTTACGTACTGCATGCACGTCCAGCATATCCACTGTTAAATCGTATGTGCTGAGGTTCATGGATTGGAACACCGCCTTCAGGGTCATCGGTGAGCCCTTGTGAAGAGTTACCACCTGGGGAAGAAGGTACATATAGATAGAAAGATATTTTTTATACACCAATAACATACACCTAGTATATAGATAAAGTACAGAAAAATATATGAACAAATAAAGAAAATGGAGTTGGATTTATGTGCCGCAAAGGTGAATAGGAAATCGAACCCCTAGTGGTGCCCTCAGACTAAAGTCGTATCCGTCAGGCAGGAGTTAGCCTTCAGCCGCTCCATAAGTCCTTCCGCGGGTTTGGAGTGCCATCTGCACTCGCCCCCTAACGTCCGGTGAAGCTGTAAAGGCCAGCTACGGCCAACAGCATTAGAGTAGTCCGAAAAAAAAAAAACTCCAAACCTACAGACTTACGGAGCGGCTAACTTCTGCCTGAAGGGGGCAAGGGGATTGTTAGTAATGTGGATTAATAACCCCATTATTAGTAGTAGCTAGTAATGTACCAGTAACTGAGTAATGTATTTATATTTATATATTTTTTTTTATTACTATATAATTAGAACCCATTATTAGATTAATCAATTTTATATAGCTAGTAAATGTACCACATATTACCGAATATCTAACTGTATAATACGCAAATAAATAAATTTCATTTCATTTCATATCAGGTGACCTCCAAGCAGTTCCCCCTGGAAACCATGTTAAAATCCTGGAGAATTTGTCACGATGACTTGACCTCATACTAATCCTATCATCCACTGGTGCCCGCCAGCGTATACCGTTAGCATAGGCTCGTGCACCATCCCATTATAATCCCTTAAAATAAATCTGCTTTATGAGTACCAAATAAATAAATTTCATTTCATTTCATATCAGGTGACCTCCACGCAGTTCCCCCTGGAAACTATGTTAAAATCCTGGAGAATTTGTCACGATGACTTGACCTCATACTAATCCTATCATCCACTGGTGCCCGCCAGCGTATACCGTTAGCATAGGCTCGTGCACCATCCCATTATAATCCCTTAAAATAAATCTGCTTTATGAGTACCACTTTATACTGAAATCACAATTAGAGGTTCGAACCTCTACTCGGGCCGTCTTAATTTCAATCCCTGATTGAATGGGGAGATGGACCGGATAGTACATACCTCATCGGCGTGTGTCTTTAGAGTCTTCTTGATGAAGCGCAGCAAATGTTTCTGATTCATGCAAGATGCTGCGTGGATATGGGTGTCCACTTTCCTATAACAAACAATACGATTAGACTTCTGACTCTCCTTTTTTTTAACATTTATTTAATAGGCAGTTTAGCACAGCGCTATATTTCCGTTGAACGCGGGTTCGATTCCTCGCACGGTGCCAACATTTGTATTCATGAGTATGATTGTTTGTATCTGTCTGAGCCTGTTCTTGTGTATATTATGTGTGTACACAAAAAAATATTTAAATATTTAAGTCAATATCATTTCATTTCATATTTATATCAATTGTCTAGTGTTGTCCCATAACATAGGCTCTGCTTACCATAGGACTGTGTTAATTGTCCAGGTTTATTTATTTATTTAATATTATTATTATTTATTTTAAATATTAATATACTTGTATTAGTTAAGCAAAGTATATTTCTATTTTATTCTATTCAAATTAAAAAATAATTTATTATATATTTTTTTATCGAACGTCGACAGTGAACATTTTCCGAGCTGAGATGATGATGATATTTTTTATCTTAAATAAAACTTGACTTGTAAAGACTTGTAAAATCTCAAAACTAGACACTTTCACTTACGCAAGTCAAACTATTTTATCATTATTATTCTCTCTACCATCCCGTTCAGTTTGATTAAATTGATAAGAAAATCAACTGAATCTCTTCAATGCAAGTAAGGTACCTGATGTTGTAGAAATCTCTGTGTGGGACCGCCTTCTGCGAAGCCAACTCGCGGAGCTCGTTGAGTAGCACGTGAAGCTGGAACTTGGAGGAGAGGTAGCTCAGCCGACGGTAGCAGAAGGACTTTCTAGAACAAGCAGTCCAGTTACTCTTAGCAGGGTTTACAAACTTCAAACACATTAGCAGGTTTTCCATATTTCAAACACACAGCTCCGTATGTAGAATTAAAAATTTTGTTATAGTTATATTTCAAATTTCGTGTTTAATCCACGTTATTAATACAGTTAAAGGTAAAAAATATAAGAAACAAAAATTAAAATTAGCAATACACTTACAGGATCATAAGAATAAGACTTAATAGATCAAAAAGATGTTGCCACAAAGGAAGCGACAGATATTACTTTAAAAAAAAACTGCCGATATTTTCTTGCGGGACTACAACATGGGTTTTTTTAAGAACACATTAAGGTTTCTTAAGCGTCGACAATGCGCAATTGACACCTCTAGTGTCTTAGGCATCTATAAGCTGCGGTAACCGTTTACCATCAGACGGTACTGTGTCTACACTTGTAATATTTCTGTCAACACTTAAATCTGTATCCACTAACATACATTTAAGTTAAATGTAAAGTTAGTCGATGACTCCGCGTCGAATTTACGCGTTAGTAATAAGCCATGTAGCACATTATCAAACACTTACTGTTAGGGAATTTACTCTCTGCTACCAAAATGTTAGGTAAAGTACTATGTATATGTATAGGGAAAAATATGTGGAAGCGTCCGTCACGTACCTGTATGGTTCTGCGGATTTCTTGGGCTTCAGGGTCTCGCAGGTGTCTTCGCTAGCTTTTCAATTTCACAGTAGGTTTAACACAGTTCTAATTTATTTTAATTCACAACACAATGCGCGCGCGTCATGGCCGCCGTACAGTCAGTTCAGTACTAGGTCAGGGAGGGGAAATGAAAGCGCGGGAACAGAAAACTAACGGACTCTAATATAATAATCTGTGCTTTACGATGATACAGGGTAGATTTTGAACACTTACTAATATACAATAAATAGTACAATTATTACAACGGTATACTCACTACCTACATACTATAGTAAACAATATATTATATAGCGACGCCGCATCACATCACATGTATAACGCAATAGTAGTGAGGTGATAACCACCGCGCTACTGTACCATTCCATTCATCATCATTGCCTTGCCTTTCTCCCATTATTTATGGTCGGCGCAGTATGTCATTCTCTTCCACTGCTCTCTATCGGTCGTCATATCTGAGCATACTCTTCTTTTATTCATATCATATTTCACACAATCCATCCATCTTTTCCAATAATATAAAAAAAACTACATTATCGTCGACAAATATTATAATAAAAATTGTTAAAACAAAAAGAAACTTACAGTGGACCATCTGCTATCATGCTGCACATTGTGTTTTTATCTTGAATGTACTGAGACAGGTGGATATACTCGTAGGGCACTCTCGTCTCCTGCCCCTCCTCACCCTGGTACAGGTTGAAGACTCCTCCATCTGACTTGATGATGTAGCCTTTTGACTCTGGCAAGGGGCCTTCCCAAGGGTCTTTGTCCTTGTGGAACGGTGGATGGACGATGTGGTCTGTAGAAGAAATAAGTTGTTTCAATCGTGAAATATGAACTTAAACTTTTGTTAGGGGTGAAGTGTTAGTAATAAAGAATTTACATGTAAAAGCAGCTATGGGAAGGATTTATAAATTCAGTGCAGTGATTCTGGACTTTTCGAATAATAAAATCTTCTTTCTCTTTCTAGTCTCTATAATATTAGTTTATATGTAGATTTACTAAAGTTAACCTCTGACGGCAAGATAAGTAGTTAAACCATTAATATTATTCTCAACGCCTGTATTTCTTCATGCATATTCTTTTTAGCGTGAAAGCCGATTCCCGTGTGTAAAGGCAGCTTATGACATAAACAAAAAAGTCGATTCAAGCTTTTTTTTCGGAATACTCTAATACTGTTGGGCGCAGCTGGCCTCTACAGGGGGCGAGTGCAGATGGCACTCTAATCCAAAGGAAGGACTTATGAAGCGATTGAAGGACAACCCGCCCGACGCTTATGATCGATTCGCGTGAAAGAGCGGACATGTAAAGGCAGCTATTGCGTCGTGTAAAGGCAGCTATTACCACGTGTAAAGGCAGCTGTTGCCTCGTGTAAAGGCAGCTATTGAATCTTATAAAGGCAGCAACTGACATAAAAATCTCTTACCAGCTATATGACGCCTGGGCAGCTTAGCGCTGGGAACGTGGTTGGCTGCAGCCTCCGTGTCCATACTGCGCACGAACCGAGCCGTTATAGTGGAGTAGCTCTGATGTGACATCTCCATGTACTTCTTCCGTATCTCCAGCGCCTGCACCAGGTATGACGATGCTTGCTGCAAGTCTTCTAGTGGTACCTAAGGATTGAACAAAAAATATACATTTGTAACTCCTATACTAATTTGACGACGGTGGTCCAGAGGTTTAGCACACCGTCTTAGTTCCAATAGTCGCGGATTCGATTCCTTGCACGGTGCAAACATTTATATTCATGAGCATTGTTAGTATCAGTGTAGGTGTTTTCTATACATATTATGTATGTATTTACGAAAAAATCTATGTATTTATATTAGTTGTCTAGTAGACGTAACACAAGCTCTGCTTACCTTGGGATTACATGGTACTGACTGAATAGTGCTGTTATTATAAAAGAGGAATCGAACTCGCGACCACCAGAAGAAAAGCGGCGTACTAAACCACCAAACGCTTCCGCCATCGGTGGTGTAAGTGGATTAGAACATGAGTAGTGATAAAAAAATAACAATAAAAAAGTAATAACTTACACCTGAAGTGTCCTCGCCGCTGATTGCGACTCTTTGGAAGTGCGGCAACACGACATCCTGCTCGTCATCATCAGGTACCCTCAGCCGGGCCGCCTCCTCGAACACCGCTGCAGCACCACCCGCCTCGCTGCCTCCAAACGAACGCGCTGACTGACCACATTCTGCTGCCCTGCAGACCAAACGAAGACTTCAAACACATAGTAATAATAATAATAAATAACACTGGACAATTAACACAGCGCCATCTAGTCCCACGGTTAGCAGAACCTGTGTTACATAATTTTCATAGAAAATATCCAGAGCGATACAAACAATCATACTCACGAAAACAAATGTTTGTACGTGTCAGGAATCGAACCTACGGAAGTAAAGTGATGTGCTAAACCGTTAGACCAAGGCCGTCAATATAGAGAAATAGGAATAATCTTTATTCAAATAAACTTAATATAAGCACTTTTGAATAGTCATTTTTTTTATTCTAACACTCATTCGGAACGTAAACTCATCACAAGAAGAACAAACAAGAAACTTGCTTGATGCTCTTTTAAATAAATGTTGTTTTAAGTAAATACACATTAACAAGGATTAGGCTTACGACAATCAATATAGAAACCACTACGCGGTAATCTTTGCGCAATCAGATAATATTGTCAGCGCTATGAATTTTAAGTTAGCTTTTTCTACAAAATAATAGGGTGATCTGCATACAAATATATTTTTTTATTTAATTAAGGAGGTTTTACATATGCGGACAAAGTCTTCAATATGAGTCTATGCCAAAAATTGCTTACAAGTAGGTATGCGCACAGATAATGGTATGGGGGAAAAATTATACAGAAAAAATAATTTGTTCCTACAAGCCTACTTGATACCTAATATAAAGACAATAACGAAATCAAGGAGTGTACAATCAGTACAATACATACATACATATATGTATCTAGTAAAATAATAGATTAACGTATAAATTACATATTTTGGAAAATGGACTCTCAAGTTTCGCGTCTTTATTATTCTCACTTTAAATTTCTATTCTTTAGTGGTAAACTCTAAAATAGAGAGAGATTAGAGAATTATTTTATCTAGTATTTTGTCAAGCCATAAAAAAATAGATTGTAAATAAAAAAAACTTACAAAGTCAATAAGTTTTTATTAAATGTATTATTAAATTTGGCTAAATAATTCATTGTTTATTCACTTTATAAACACTAATTTAAAATAATTATAAAATAAGAAATCGTAAAAAAATTACTTTAAATTTCGAAGCGACGTCCACCTCTGACACTCAATTTTACTGCCGAACATTTTTAAATTGTCAAAAAAAGAACACGTTCAATAGTTGTATGGTCACAATTTCCTTTGCCATTCCTTTAAAGGATAACCAGAAGAAAAAAAAGAAAATTTCCACATTGTCACTTTTTTATGAACCACATTCTTTTTTTAAAACACACACATGTTTTAGATCATAGACAATTTAATTTGTTTTTTAAATCAAAATATCAACAAAGGAAATGCATAATAGGCAGCCTGTTAGACACGCGTACCGATTGCAATGAGTGGAGTTATGGCTGCCGGGCTCGCTAAGGGTTAGTGTCACACCAAGGTTGATCCAATTACTAGACGCTAATAATATCGACTCGGTTTAGTGGTTTTATAGCTTACTTCAGTATCTACGGCTCCACGCGACCAGGGGATGACTTTATGGCTATAAACTATACTTGATAAAATCGCTCTCTTCCCTATACTAGTATTTACCGCGACTCCGTCTATACCGTGTGCGCTGTAGCATGGTGCGGGTGACAGTTATTAATTTTACATTTAATAATTGCTACATTTAAGTTATTACAGTCTTTAATGATTTTAATGATTTAATTTGTAAATCGCGGCAACTTTTAAGAGTGAAGCGAAACATTAATAAACAGTTTCATGTACCATGCTACAGCGCATATGGTATAGTTCTTTTTGGATACAGGCTAGTCTATGGCCGTATACGTGATGTAGTCTATCTTCATATAAAATCTGTTCAGTTGTTTAATGGTGTTTAAAGATTACAAACAGTTAGACAGCCAGATACTTTTCCATTTATAATCTTAGTATAATAATAATAAATAAGCCTGGACAATTAGCACAGCACCATCTGGTCCCACGGTAAACAGAGCTTGTGTTGGGTACTAGTAGAGTTGCCAGACGTCCCGTATTTCTCGGGACGTCCCGTATTTTAGGATTAGTTTAAAATGTACCAGCGGGACGGATTAGAATCGTCCTCCGTTTTTTATTATTAGATCGACCGATCTACGCTAGACAATTTTTCTTTTGTAAATTTTCTGCCTATTTAAGCGTTTGTCCCTTATAGGCTGAACAAAAATCTGGCAACTCTAGGTACTAGACAACTAATATAAATAGTTATTTTTTTTATTACATACATAATATACATAGAAAACACCCAGACCGATACAAACAATAATATGTGTTTATCTTTTGATAAGGTCAACGTACTTACAAGGGCACCCGTGTGTATTTAGTGTACCACCTGCTTATCCTTACCAATATAAATGCGAAAATAACTCTGTCTGTCTGTCTGTCTCGCTTTCACGCCGAAACCACTGAACCGATTTAAATGAAATTTGGTACACAGATAGTCTAGTCCCTGACAAAGGCCATACGCTACTTTTTAATGCGAAAAAAGGGTTGCAAGGTGTTGAAAGGAATGGACGAAGTTGCGAGTACAGCTAGTCAGCAATATTTACCATATACAGACATGCAAATTATATGAAAGTATTCGTTTTAGTTAATTATTCTCATTTTATTTACAACTAGGTGTTTTATCCGTTCTTTATCTTCATACTAATTTTCCTATGATCTATGTACCCGTAGTAGTAAAAATATAACATGCAGACAGACATTAGCATTGACTAACTAAGCCCACGTCTTCATACTAGATTTTTTTTCCAGCATTTGATATGTAAAATACAAAATACTACTTGATAGATTTATATAATTTTGTTTAATTCCTCTACAATTAGCATGTGTGAGACCACAAATATTAATGTTTTGACCTTCTCTAATGGCGTCAAATTCCGACCGTAACCTATATCGCGACACGTGTTTCGCCTCTATCAGTGTTTTTTTTTTTTTTATCAAAGACAATGGAATGGTGCACCCGCCTGCGCTAACGGTTTACGCTGGCGGGACACCAGTGGAGGATGATATATATATTTATCGTGACACATTACCAAGAATTTATCATATACCTGACATGGTACATTGCTAGCAATGAGATCATCAATCCACATTACTAACAATCCCCTTTTCCCCCCCGGAAGCCTAGTGTTGACTCCTCGGCGACCAAACCGCGACTAGTTTCTACACCGAATATTTGTAGTAATATATAATACACGCTAATTGTAGCGGAATTAACCAAAATAATGTAAAACCATCAAGTATTGAAATTGACTTCCGCAAAATAACTAATTCGATTAAATACATACTAAATCAGTGGGTATATTCAGAAACTGTAAAGCTCGCTTAGTGTGGCGTAAATAAATAAATAAATTATACCAAAATTTTGTATTTATACACAAAATCGCATTCCCAGTCGGTTAAGCAGTTTCTAAGGTTTCCGTACACAAATTCCCACAATAACGGTCGGAAATTCTAGTAACTGTTAAGTTTTCACGTCTTCCTTAGCAGCAGTGTGCCTTCAGCCGCTCCATAAGTCCTTCTTTTGATTTGAGATGTCATCGGCACTCGCTCCCTATCGTCCGGTGAACAACAACAGCATTAGAATCGTCGGTCAAGTAAAATCGTCTTCCTAGTAGCTTAAGCAATTAGGTATCATGAAAAACATATATGTATATATATATATATATATATATATATATATATTATAGCATTTAGAATAGATAAGTAGATATTTTTTATTGTCAACTCACCATCCCACCGCGGTTTCGCAAGGGTTATGTATTATAGATGTATATGAACCTTCCTCTTGAATCACTCTATCTATTACTGAAAGTAGTTAAATCCGTTGCGTAGTTTAAAAGATCTAAGCGTACAGACAGAGGAAGCGACTTCATTTTATATTATGTAATAATTGTGAGCGAAATAAGTCGCAGTAAAGGCTATGTATGTAAAGTAGGGAGGCGTGCGCCCATTTCGTGTCCATTAGTACTTATCTCTCCGTAAAACGTCTAGATTAGCTATAAATAGCACAGAGTAATAAAGGTAGGTAATTATCCAAATGTCGAATTATCTATATGGTACGGACCTACATGTATACACGACTGTATGTGGACTCATGTGTATATTCTATAGCGTATACATGTAAGTCTCTCACCCAAGCGCCGCCATAGCAATAATTTCTATCGATTTTTTTTCTAAGTCAAATGTGTCCATCAATAAATAATCTACACAATAAATAATTGCAAATACAATACAATAAACAACAACAAATTAGACGGCCGCGGTGGTCTAGCGGTTTATACTTCCGATAGTCGCGGATTCGATTCCTCGCACGGTGCGAACATTTGTACCTATTTATTAGTATGATTGTTTGTATTGGTCTGGGTGTTTTCTATGTATACTACATGTAGTACAACATAAATACATATAGTATTTATATATCTACGTATTTATATCAGCTGTCTAGTACTCATAACACAAGCTCTAACTGTGGGACTAAATGACACTGTGTTGATTGTCCAGAGTTATTTATTTATTTATATTATATTATTTACAAACAAACAGTTACCTTTCACTAGTCTTCATAACAGAAATCTTAACCAACTTAGAAGTTTTGGACCGTGAGGAAATTGGTCACCTTGACCTGTTCTTGGAGGACCAGAAGGAGAAAACCTCGTAATAAAAGCACAGTGTAGTGTACGCCGCTTACAAACGCCGCGTCACGTTTCACGTCACGCTATGGACGTGACCAAGGTCAAGGTGTAAGAAATTGAATTAGCATAGGAACGTGACACGCGTTAACACGCTGCCAGCTGGTACTTTGCCTAGAAAAACATTGGAAAGTACCTCTCAACAATTTGTTAAACACTACACCAGTAAATGTACCTATTAATGATTACTGAATAGAAATGACGAAAACATGCGTATAAGCAGACAGGTCAATGAAACAATTATCAACCATTAAAGAGAAGCAAGGATAACTGGAACGTGTTTGATGCAGCAGGAATAAATGGTACATGATGATGATGATGATGGCTTCAGCAGATTACAGGCTGTAGATGTAAATGATAAAATTTGCTTGAATATATTTGGTAACCAGTATCAACCATTTATCAACCTTTAAAAAGAAACAAGGATAACTGGAACATGTTTGATGAATAAATGATGATGATGGCTTCAGCAGATTACAGGCTGTAGATGTAAATGATAAAATTTGCTTGAATATATTTGGTAACCAGTATCAACCATTTATCAACCTTTAAAAAGAAACAAGGAACGTGTTTAATGCGGTTCGAAGAAACAGATGGTACATGCTGATGACTTCAGCAGATTACAGTCTGTAGATGTATATGATAGAATTTGCTTGAATATATTTGGTAAATTACTATTAATTACAAATTTGGATATGTGAACTAGAAAAGTACGGGGGGAAAATGGATTGTTAGTAATGTGGACTGATGATCTCATTGCAATGTACCATGTCAGGTTGACCTCCACACGGTTCTCCGTGGAAACCATCGTTATAGATTCTTGTGGAATTTGTAACGATGGGCTAACTGACCTGACCTCATACTTATCTTATCATCCTCCACTGGTGCCCCGTCAGCGTAAACCGTTAGCGCAAGCGGGTGCACCATTCCATTATCATCCATAAAAAAAACTAGAAAAGTACGTTACTTCGATTGATTTCAATTTCGAAAATCAACGTACAGTTATAATGTGAGATTTAAATGGATTGGTTGTGCGCTCCAATCACAATGCTCCTTCGTTGTTGCGTTTTGTTGCTGCTTGGTACACGCGACAATAACTGATAACAAGAACTAAACCCATTTTGAAAATTCTTTTAGTGTTTAATAGTCCATTTAGCGAGGAAGGCTATGGGCTATATAATATCAAGCCACGACCGATAGGAGTCCAGCTGCATTAAGAATGTTGTGCAGACAAAATTGCTTGGGTCACTATAACATACGCCACTACCAACAGAGAAGTTGCAATGAAAAATGTAGCTAAAACAGGTAAATATGATGGAAACGAAGTAAAGTGGGTCACCTCGTATGTAAATAAAAATAAAAATACATTTATTTGAAAAGAATACAAGCTGAGTTTCTTGTCAGTTCTTCTGTACGAGCAACCACACATTACTGTGCAATACAATTGCTGACACATGCAATTTCACCTCATCATGCAGTTCACCTCATTACATTTCTTTTAGTAATAAAATCAGTGTTCGAGTATCATTCAACCATGGCGGTTTTATTTAGCAAAAACCCCTCATCAATCAATCAATCAATATCATTATCACGGAACTGTGAGCTTAACACCCCACATTCATCTCGAAATCAGTCCGAACTGACGGTAGATTTGACATATCATAAGAGTCTGTAATAGATCTACATGAATAAAAATATTTTGAATTTGAAATAAAATTACGTTTAAAAAATGTACTTACTTGACATTAAGTTGTCTCTGTATGAGGAGTTTCTTCTCTATCTGCTCGATAGGAAACTGCGGCACCTCGTACGGCGCTGACAACTCGTTGGGGAGCTCGCGGGGCGCCTCCGCGCCCACCGCACTCGTCGGGCTCTCGCTGCCTGAACAACAACAATAACTAACGTGATTATCATCGCCATCATAAAATTTTATCATCATTAGATATGGCAAGCAATCTGATAATCCACCTGATAGAAAGTGTCCCAGTATAATGTAATGTGTTAGTTTTAGTGAAAAATTAACTGATCTTACTTCATGTTTATTTTATCATCTTCCACTGGTGCCCCGCCAGCGCAGCTGGGCGCATCATTCCATTATTATCCATAAAATAATATGTAAGTACTCACAAAGTGTACAATTTTATATATATATATATATATATTATATATAATACAGAAATACGGTTCGTATACGGTTTTATCATTTGTTTGATTATGATCTCATTAAAATTACAAACAAGTATGTGTATTTAATCTAAATATATGTACGGACGTTGACCCGCTAAGATAGTAGTAACTTCAAAGATTTTTTTTTGTAATAAGTTCAAATATATACTACCATCTATTTACCAGTAGACTGCCAAAAATCTCACATATATGTAGTGTAGAGCGTATATATATATATGTGTCTGATTCCAAAGTAACTAGTATGAAGAACCTGCATCGAAGTACCATTTGGTTACTTTGTAATCTTGTGGTTACTTGTTACTAGTTACTGCAGTTATCTAGAGACTGTAGTTGCTTATGTGTGATAGTAATTATTATTAGTTACTAGAAATGCCTGGTGATTACGTAATTACAAAAAATAAATCAAATTTTAAATATACAAATGAAACATCTCTTTAACCACTCACAATGCACCTCAATAAAATTACTATATTTTAAGAAAGTATGTACATATACTAGCTTTTTAAAATTACAAGTACATGCCCAACATTACAATCTAAAAAATTGTACCAAATGTAACAACTAAAGTATCGATACTATAGTAACGATACTCGTTACAACATATACTTAGTAACTAGTATGTACGACGATTCCATTTGTCGTTATTTTTGCAGCTCTAATGTAGTGTGCAGTGTTTATTACATTAGCGCGTATACTGAGTGAACAGTTCAAAGCATTTATGTTATTGTATAAATATGTACATATTTTTAGACTTCTAACAAAATCTATAAAGAGAATACTGAAATATTAAAATACTTATAGATTCGCTGAATTCTTGTACTATTTATTCTTATAATATTAATATTATTGCGTAATGAACTATATTATTAAATGTAGCAAGCACTTAGTAGATATTTAAGAAGCAAAGTGTTTAAATGGGTCTTCATATTTTTAATATTATCTGATAAGGATCAGTAATATTACACGTAAGGGGTTTTTAGACCCTACCATGTATACCATGTAGGGTCTAAAGACCCCAAAGATACAGACACACAATTTAACATACCTTTATATGTATTCGCATATTTTCATGTTTATTCATTTATGTAGATAATTATCTTGATATCAATTTTAAAAGTTTATTCCTTTTTTAATTTAAAATATCTGTTAATTCATATTTTTTGAGAAAAGCCTATTACAAACTATTACTCCAATGGCATTAGTTGTTCTTGCACGGGATTCTCATTACGGTTATACATAGACACCTATATAACCTAATATAGTAAATAAACTGGCTTTAAAAAAAGAAGATCAGTTGAGTTTCTTGTCAGTTCTTCTGAATTAAACTTGTATATTGAATTGACGGTAGGGAAAAAATAGTAATGCAAAAAACTTGACGTTGAGAAGCGGCTAAAATGTCCTACATTAATATGATTTTTATTTTGTTAATTACGTGTAGTTGCCGCAGGTAGATCGTCGTGCATGTCCGATGTTGCCAGTTCTTTTGAATTAAATTTGTAAGTGGATGGTAGGGAAAAAATAGTAAAACCACAGATAATATTATATATCACAGACAACATAATGTACTATCATCGTCGTTGATCTCTTATTGTATTAATTTACTGGTAAAGGCTTTAACAGAATAGCAGAGAGGGGAGAGTCACTGCCTTCACTGAGTTATTGACCGTTTTGTCTCATTAATTACTTTTAAATTTTATTATTGTATGGGCAACAATTGTATTAGTTTTTGTTTGAGATAAATAAAGATTATTATTATTATAACATATTATTACATAGTAATATACAACACTTGACGTTGAGAAGCGGGTAAAATGTCCTACATGTATTTTTTTTTTTTATAATTACGTGTAATTGCAGGTAATTCGTCATGCGTGTCCGATGTCCTCCTCACATGCCAGATGTCTTTGTCGAAGCTGTACATTGTCCTCACACTGCTAATATCACCACCATTACTTCACTACACTTCGTATAACGCACACTTAACAATAAACTTTTAATAATTAATAATAACATAGGACAATTCACACAATGCCATCTAAGTATCTTTACAATTAACACAGCGCCATCTAGGCCCAAGCTAAGCTTGTGTTCTGGGTACTAAGCAACTGCTAGTAATTTTTAAATACATTTTTTAGCACATTGCCTTACTTCCGCAGGTTCGATTCCTCGTACAGTACAAATATTTGTGCTTTTTTTTTAATGTATGGAATGGTACACTCGCCTGCGCTAACTGTTTATGCTAGCGGGACACCAGTGAAGGATGATAGGGTATGAAGTTAGGTCTGTTAGTGTCATCGTAGTAAATTCATGGTGAATTTAGTGAACTTGGCACACGATATTCAAAAATCGACTTTTTTTTTTAGAGTTCTGACATCCTTTTGAATAGTTCTAGAGTTCTTTATAATCATTTTAAATAGTTCCGATGTTTAAATTAAAAAAAAACAAATTTTAAAAAATCGTGCGCTAAGTTCAAATCACGAAAATCACAAATTTCTTCTGAGTTCTAGCTTGCTTTACAATAGTTCTACAGTTCTCTATCAGTTATATCAATAGTTCTAGCGATTAAAACGAAAAAATCGATTTTTGATACGCGTCCAAATTATAATTCATATAAGAAAAGATCAATTTCAGACGCGAGTTCGAGCCGATCTGATAATAGTTCTGGGCAGCATTCTAGTTCTACAGAAAACAATACTTTTTACCTGGAAATAATTACATTTTTCTTTATGGATCTGATCGGAGTTCTGGGTAGCGCTACCTGAGTTCTATCGAAAAGTCTAGTAACTTTTTCCTGTGAAATAATTATTGTCCAAATTATCGCCATTTTTAACTTTTCATGACTGACTTATAGGAGAATTTTTTTACGAGTTCTAGTCGATCTCATGAGTTCTGGGTAGCGCTACCTGAGTTCTATCGAAAAGTCTAGTAACTTTTTCCTGTAAAATCATTATTTTCCAAATTATCGCCATTTTTAACTTTTTAAGGCTGACTTAGATGAATCTAGCTGATCTCATCGGAGTTCTGGGTAGCGCTACCTGAGTTCTATCGAAAAGTCTAGTAACTTTTTCCTGTGAAATAATTATTTTCCAAATAATCGCCATTTTTTACTTTTCAAGACTGACTTGTAGGAGAATTTTTCTTTTGACGAATTCTAGCCGATCTGATCGGAGTTCTGGGTAGCGCTACCTGAGTTCTATCGAAAAGTCTAGTAACTTTTTCCTGTGAAATAATTATTTTCCAGGAAAAAGTTATGAAGCTTTTCTGTAGAACTTGGAGAATGCTGCCCAGAACTATTATCAGATCGGCTCGAACTCGCGTCTGAAATTGATCTTTTCTTATATGAATTATAATTTGGACGCGGCGAAACTTCAAAAATCGATTTTTTCGTTTTAATCGCTAGAACTATTGATATAACTGATAGAGAACTGTAGAACTATTGTAAAGCAAGCTAGAACTCCGAAGAAATTTGTGATTTTCGTGATTGTGATTAGCGCACGATTTTTTATAATTTGTTTTTTTTTAATTTAAACATCGGAACTATTTAAAATGATTATAAAGAACTCTAGAACTATTCAAAAGGATGTCAGAACTCTAAAAAAAAAAAAAAGGACCGAATTTATCGATGGTTTCCAAGGAGAAGCACGTGGAGGTCAACCTGATACGGTACATTGCTAGTAAGGTTATTAGTCCACATTAGTAACAATACCTTTACCTACAAACATTTTTTTTTATGGATGATAATGGAATGGTGCACCCGCCGGCGCTAACGGTTTAGGCTGGCGGGGCCAGTGAAGGATGATAAGATGAACATGAGGTCAGGTCAGTTAGCCCATCGTGACAAATTCACCAGGAATTTAACACGATGGTTTGGGTCAACCTGACAAGGTACATTGCTAGCAATGGAGTCAACCCCCATTACTAACAATCCCCTTCCCCCCCCCCCCCTAAAAAAATTTGTATTGACGAGTATGATTGTAAAAAATGTATTTACAAATATCAGTTATCTAGTACCCACAACAAGCTTTGTTTATGTTGGGACTAGATGGCGCTGTGTGAATTGACCATTATATTATTATTTCACAAAGTATTATATTTTATACAGCAAACATTGTCGGTTCAAATTTTATAATAAAGTGTGTATTCATAACTGAAGCAGGTACCTCGTTAGCATAATTATCGCAGTCTAAGAAATTCCATTCAAGTATTAGCTATAAATATACATTAAATGGAAAATTACCTATGAAACAATAGCAATAAGGTTTATTATATAATAACACTGTGGCAAATATTACTTCTAGTAGAGGAAAAATAAACACAATTACATCTGTATAAGAGAAGGAAATCTCGAAATTAAACTGGGTAATATATACATATAAATAAAATTGGAGTAAGTATCTGTTTGTAATATTGAAATAACCGTTTTTTACTACATGCATATGAATACAAATACGGTACATACACCAAAGTAACATTCTTTACAAATTTTGTCTGCCTGTCTGTCTGTTCCGGCTAATCGCTGAAATGACTGGAGCTATTTTAACGGGACTTTTATTGGTAGGATGTAATAAGCAGTAACTTAGGCTACTGTCATTTTAGAAAAATACTTTTAAATTAGAAAAGTAAAGTTAAATTCCACGCGGAAAAAATTGCGGGTGCATTTAGTTGTAAACTAAAGAATCCAGGCGAGAATGCTT